GGCGGTCCGTCAGCTGAAGGAGCAGGTCTGCAGGTTACAGGAAGTCGTACAGAGCTCTGCCCTACAGGTCAGCCAATCAGAGGCCAGCGTAGAGGAGTTCAGGGAGCGCTGTGGTCGGTGTGAGGACGACCTGGAAGCGTCTCGTGGGCGGTGCTCTGAGCTGGAGGACCGGCTGGAGGAGGCCTGCACTCAGCTGGAGGAGAGCATTGCCTTCCTGGAGTCTCACGAAGCTCTGAGTCAACGCCTGGCCTCAGAGAGGAGCTTGGTGGAGGAGGAGCTGCAGGTGGTAAAGGTCAGAGAGGAGCAGCTGGAGGTGCAGGTGAAGCAGCTGAACGAGGAGCTTGGAAACCTCCGCATTGCGTCCGACAGCATCCTGCAGGACCGGAGCGGCGCCGTCACCCGGCAGGAGGCGCAGCTCGCAGCCAGGGACCAGACCGTCAGCGCCCTCAGGTCTGAGCTGGAGGACCTGCAGGAGACCCTGAGGACCAGGACCGAGTCCGTCTCCAAACTGACCGCTGAACTGGACTTGCTGAAGACGGACCGCGCCAGGCTGATCCAGGATCTGAAGGAGCAGGCGATGGCAGTCGACGACCTGCAGCTGGAGCTGGATGGAGTCTCAGAGGAGCTGGACAAGAGGAGGAGCGCTGAGGAGGGTCTGCAGGAGGCTGTGAAGCAGGAGCGGACCAGGACCTCGCAGCTCCGGTCCAGTCTTGACCAGAAGAAGGAAGAGGTCTGTCGTCTGAACCAGGAGAACCGGAGCTACACCCGGCTGGCCGACCAGCTCTCCACCCAGATTGTAGAGATGGAGGAGGAGATCTCCACGCTGAGAGACCACCTCAGAGACCTCAGCTCCCAGCTCAATGAGACCGCAGACCTGGTCCTAGACCTCCGGAGGCAGCTCAACTCCAGAACCAGCGAGGTGGATTGGCTTCGGTCCTCCTCTGAGAGGCACAGTGGCGACGTTCAGCAGCTGACTGATCAGCTGGACCGGGTCCGAGAGCAGGTCCACAGCCTGCAGCAGGCCCTGCAGGACTCCCGGGACCAGCTGAGAACCAGGGAGCAGAACTTTGAGCAGGAGAAGAGGAAGATGACGCAGCAGCTGATGGAGCTGGAGACGCTGGTCCTGGCTCTGGAGGACGTGATGGACCCGGCCAGTCCACACAGGTTTGTGGAGCATGAGGCCGACTCGGATCCAGAACCTGGTCCCACAGAGAACTAACATCCGTCTGCTGCTGTGCTTGAAACTCTGAGTAGGTTACAGACTAATCTCATCCATCATGAGACCAAGGCTCCTGAGGCTGATCACTTTATTGCCCACAATGCATTGCTGCAGACTGAAGCTGCAGTCTGGTTGGCTCTGTCTGGAATGCTTTAACTCTTCACCTCATCTCTAACCCAATGACAAACATCTAAACGCATGACATCATCACTGTGAATAACTCTGTCATCACCTGTGTCTGTTCGTCTGAATTTCGAAGTAAAAGCCTTAAATTCTGCTCTGATGCTGTTTGATGATGAAAATTCATTTTTCTGGTAGAGAAGAGATTAAAGGTCTCAACCTGCTTCAAATAAACTGGATCATATGATTGATCAACCAATGATCAATTATTGATCATGATCAATAATTCAGACTGAGGAGGTAATAATCAGGATCTCCAGGCAGGACAGGAACATAAATCTGAGTGTCGTCTGCAAAGAGACGAACATTTAGCTTCAGTTGATGAAAGCTCCAGTCACATGTTTCTTCACGTGTTTCGGACTCTGTTTGATCATGTGACAGACTCTTTGTTTGAAGCAGACGAGGCCTCCACCAACCGGCTCTTTACACACTCACATTAAACTCCAACTTTCCGAATCTGTTATAAAACACCAGCAGCACAGGCGGCGGATCATCTACATCAGACAGGAGCTTCACCAGATTATTTCAGAGAGATTTTCCTCCTGATCGTCAGTGAGTTTCCTGCAGCTGCTCAGGTCTGTCTGAGCTGCACTCTGTCTCTGACCTGGTCTTGTGTTGCATCCAGGACTCAGCTGGAGGAGGTCCGATCAGAGAACGGAGCTCTTCAGGAGCGACTGACTGTCCTGCAGCAGGAAGTGCAGAACCTGGAGGAAGACGTCTCCAAGAAGAGGTGAGGAAACGCTGAGTGCTTCAGTCCGCTTCATGTCCTGCATCATGAAGCTGGTTCTCAACTGAAGCAGATAAAAAGTAAAGTGGCTCATGTTTGATCATCCAGCAGTTTATGAAGAGGATCATCAGGTTTAGTTGAGTTGCTGTGATGAAGAAGATATTGATTTAATCGACACAAAAACATAGAACACAATATTATATTTGTAAATACAAACGATGGAAAATACAACAGAACAATAAAAGAGAAGTGGATGAAAGATTTTTTATCCAGGAGTTTAGACGAGTCTTTGAAGGTTCTGGAAAAACTGGAGAACCCACAAGAGAAGAAAACTCCTACTCTACATCTCCATCAAAATATTGATCCTCCTCCTTTTATCACAAGAAATAGATTTGGAAAAAAGTCAGTTTAGTTCTTGGTGGAGTTAAACTGTGTAAATATCTGAGATCTTCTTCTGTCAGGAGGAAACTGGAGGAGATGGAGAGAGAACACGAGAGGAGCAGAGAAGAAGAAGAGAGGCTGCACAAAGAGGTGAGAGTCTGTCTGTCCTGCTCAAGTGCCATTTAGCAACAGTTACTCCAGATTGTGATGTCTGAAGCTTCTTCTTCTTCTTCTTCTTCTCTGTCTGCAGAACTGTAAGTATCGAGAGGAGGTCCTGGATCTGAGCAGCAGGAACCTGCAGCTGAGCAACGACAACACCGAGCTCAGCACCCGTCTCCGTGGAGATCAGGAGTCAGCCCGGATGCTGCGGGAGCGCTTGGCGACCGTCTCCAAGGAGCAGGAGGAGGAGGGGGCTACGGTGAGAGACAGTAACGAGCAGTTCGGCCGTTTTCTCTTTTTCTTCTTCTACCTCCAGTTTAGCTTCAGTCACAAGAGACCAACACCTGAAGCTCTCACCTGTTCTTCCCTCTGCTCAGATTCTCTCTGAGGTTTGAACATTTATTTAAAAACGAGGTTTTGTCCCAATAAAGTTTCCAGACTGAAGTTTCTGACACAGATTCAGGATCAGACATGGCATGTTTTAAATACTGTGTTTCTTCAGTGGATCTTTGTCAGACTGAAGAGTCGTGGACGCTCCTGGACGAGGACGTGTCAAAGACCAAAACACCGTCTTTGAATAAATGATCTGTGGACAGAGTGAGATCTGTGTGTTCACTGACTGACATTTAAATCTGTCTGTACGTGATGTTTGAGCTCGAGAACGAATCACAGCAGATTCAGCACTGTCCCTTCACCCTGTCCTGATTGGCTGGTGGTCTCCTTCAGGTGCGGCGGCTGCAGGACGCAGCGATGCAGCAGGACAGAGAGAAGCTGCAGCAGCAGACGGCGTGGACGCAGGAGAGACAGCTGCTGGAGACAGAGCTCAGCTGCTGCAGGGACAAGGTACGAGTCATTAAAAAGTCCACAGCTGTGATGCTGCAAGGGGTCACGTGACGTAAACGATGGATGAAGACCTGCCACACATGACAGTTTACGTCAGGTCGATCCTCACTGCTGCGTCCACACAGCGGCTTCATGTTTCAGACTCTTCACCGGTTGTTGTTGATTTCTCAGCTGCATCGTCTGTCGGAGGTGGAGGCGGAGCTTAGCACGGTGACGCTGAAGCTTCAGTGGCTGGGGGATGACAAGGCAAAACTACTGAGAGAGGCCGACGAGCGAAACAACAAGGTCACAAATAAAACTACAAAACCAGAAAAAACCACAAGTTAAAAACAACAGCATCAGAAACTAAGCGTGTCTCTGCTCCTTCAGGTGGAGAACCTGCAGCAGTGTCTTCTCTCTCTGGAGTCGGAGGCGGAGCTGCTTCGCTCTCAGCTCCACGTCGTCAGTCAGGAGAAACTCAGCCACGCCCAGGAAGTGACTGACCTGCAGAGGAAGCTGCAGGACGCTCACAACAAGGTCAGGAGGGAAACTGATCCCTAGACAGTGGGTCAGATAGCTCGTTAATTATTGATCCTCCACTTTGTTCCAACGAGGTCACGAGATGATTAAAACATGTGACAGGAAAGAGTTTACTGCACAATGAAGTACTTTAGCTACAGGAAGTAGTTTTACTGTGATAGTGTAACTACAGGAAGTGGTTTACCTTGTTGTCGTGGTGATTTTACTTCAGTAAATGATCCTCTGTGATTGGTCAGGTGACCTTCTGTCATCAAGTGTTTGGACCCGCTCGGTCCTCACACAGGTGTCGGGTCCAGACCTCCTGAACTCTCTGCCTCCTGTGCTGTGGTGGTTCTCAGGTGGAGGAGCTGGAGAACGGCGTCAGGAAGCTGATGAAGGAGAAGGAGGAGCTCTGTCGGGCCCAGGAGGAGCAGGAGGAGCAGGCCTCCATCACCCTGCAGGAGGAGATCCGCAGACTGAGAGTCCAGAACCAGGAGCTCCAGAACAAGGTACCAGACGCACCTGTCTGTAACACCTGAGCTGAGGTGATGGTCTCTGCTCACCTGTGAATGTGATGTTGTCTCCAGCTGTTGGAGCTGCAGGTCCAGGGTCTGGAGGTCCACAATCTGACCCAGGAGCAGCAGAACCTGAAGACCGAAGTGAGGGAGCTGGAGACGGCCCGGATGCAGGCGCAGGACCAGGTGAGGCCGGAGGACTCTGACCATCAGACTGTGACGTGAACAACACATTGACCTCCATCTTCGTCCCTGCAGGCGGCGCGGGCCGACACGGCGCTCAGTCTGGTGCAGGCGCAGCACCTGCGGCAGCTGCAGCAGCTGCGGGAGCGGATGGGGGAGGGACGCAGGGAGGAGGTGGAGCTGCTGCAGGTCCGGCTGGAGGAGGAGCAGAGGAGGAGTCAACAGCTGGAGGAGACGCTGAGGCTCCATGCCCAGCAGAGCAGCTCTCAGATCAGCATCAAGCAGGTAAACAGGGGTCAGAGGTTAGCCTAGCAACATGCTAATGCTAACAGTGGGAAGTTCAAAGAGCCAGGACTCTTCTGTACCCACCTTGTTAGCGTTAGCCTTAGCGCCATCCTGTGGCTGTAACGTCCATCAGAAAACGAGGCGTCATTTGTGCAGCGATCAGGGGCATTTTGAGTTTGTCCTCTGTACGGTGGCTGTGGAGGAACATTTCAGACTGCTGGACTTCAGTATGCTCAGTCAGGGGTTATTCAACAGGTGTGTGTGTGTGTGTGTGTGTGTGTCAGGATCAGTATGAGAAGGCCCTGGCCTCCCTGCAGCAGAGGATGGAGGACCTGGAGACCAAACTGAAGGGGGTCCGGATGGTTCTGCAGGAGAAAGTGCAGCAGCTCAAAGAGCAGGTCAGTCTTCAAACAGGTTCTCATTTCATCAGGGGAACGTCCACATCTGCTGCATCTGTACTTCCTGTCTGGATCTGTCTCATTTACATTTAATGTTGAGCCGTCCACATACTTTTGTGCACTCTGACTGTGTTCCATGTTCTGTGTTCTGCAGCTGGTGAAGAACAACAAGTCTGCCGCGCTGCTCAAGGATCTGTACGTGGAGAACTCTCAGCTGATGAAGGCGCTGCAGGTCACCGAGCAGCGGCAGAAAAACGCAGAGAAGAAGAACTTCCTGTTGGAGGAGAAGGTCGCCGCCCTCAACAAGCTGCTGAGAGAAATTGTCCCCGCCTCACTCGCCACGTAGCTGAACATCCAATCAGCAGCTGGCCTGAGATCAGCTTCACTGAAGCAGCTTCAAGCCTGTGTGGTTAGCCTAGCTTAGCACAAAGACTGGAAGCAAAGGGAAACTGTTAGCATAGCCTCCCTAAAAACAGAATAACAACAAACACACAGATCTGAGACCTGCTCTGACACACGACACACACTCAGAAAAATCTGAAGTGGCACAAATAAAACTGAAAAAAAAAAACATTATTTCGAGGAAAAGGTTCAAATATTTCAAGAACAAAGTCAAAACTTTATGAAAAAATCAATTTCATGAGTAAAAACAAATTTGGACGTAAAATTATTGAAGGAGAAAAGCAACATTTCAAAATAAATTCATATTTCGAGAGTAAAATGGAGACGCTTGTTTTGTTGTGTTAAACCACTCAGGGCAAAGGTCACCTGACACCTGTCTGATGTAAAGTTATGACTCATTACGAAATGTTTTGTTGTAAAATTAAGACTGCAAATATTATAATATTCTCAAATTACAACTTTATTCTGAAAATCTGTTTTCATGTACAGATTTTATTGAATTTAAAAAAAGTTTTTTAACCTTTTTATTCTTGAAACATCTGATTTTTTTTTTATCTAGAACAGTTGTTGGAAATGTTCAGGTGAGATGTCAATGACTCCTCACAGGTGGTGGGTGTGGCCTTTTGGATGAGCCGCCCCCCCGAAGCTGCGTCAGAGAAACTGAACACACACACACACACACACACACCTGTGCATTCCACAGGTGGGCACTACTCTGAAGTATTTCAGCCATGAGGGTATTATGTTACTTATTTTATATATTTTTATTGTTATTTTTAATGTCGATGTCAAAGTGAGACTTTTATTTTTGTGAACGGTGGAGTCAGGGGTCAGGAGACATTTGATTGACTGCAAGCAGCTGCTGTCCTGGTTTCAGTCTGTGTTTTTCCCTCAGAGTGAGACCTCCTGCTCCTCCTCTCCTTCCTGTTCAGGTGCCACAAACCAAACTCACCTGTGTGGGCGTCACCTTGTTGATGTACGATGATGATGATGATGATGATGATGATGTCACATGAAAACCATATTAAATTATGTTTTTATCTCACTCTGTGGATCAGCTGTTTATTTATTTATTCGACTCATATTGTTGTCTGTTTTCTTCACAAACTGACGCAGAGTTTAGAAAAAAACTTTTTATTTTTCGTCACAATAATCCTCAAACTTCGTCCTGGAGGATGTGAACATCTGTGTCGTCTCAACATCTGTCCGCTGTTAAAATAAAGAACGCACATGGAGGGGGTGGGGTTTAGCTTGGTCCTCGTCTCTGCTCTCTGATGTCGAGGCCTCAGGACATGACGTGCTCCAGGACTCCCTGACGAATCAGCTGCTCACATTTCCACCGTGGCAGGAAGTGCTGAGGACGGAGAGACGGACGCTGACGTGAGGACTTCCTGTGACACTGCTACACAACCACACCTGCCTGAATCTACACCTGTCTGAATCCACACCTGCCTGAATCTTCACCTGTCTGAATCTAGACCTGCCTGAATCTACACCTGTCTGAATCTACACCTGTCTACACCTGTCTGAATCTTCACCTGTCTGAATCTACACCTGTCTGAATCTACACCTGTCTGAATCTACACCTGTCTGAATCTACACCTGCCTGAATCTACACCTGCCTGAATCTTCACCTGTCTGAATCTACACCTGCCTGAATAATTTTAACTGAAGGTGTTTTGTGTAACTGGTCCCTGGACTTGAGGACTTGAGGATCCAGACTGGAGATTCTCACCTGACTGTTCTTCTTCAGCAAAATCACCGTCCCGTCGTCGATCTCAAACTCTCCGTGGTCCTTTAAACACCTCACCTGAAGAACACAGACAGGGCGGAGTCAGCATCATGAGGTCAGACTGGAGCTCAAAGGTCAAATAGCTGACTGAGCGTCTCACTTCGATGTAGAGACTCTTTGGAGGCTTCATGTCCTGAGTGATGTCCAGACCTTCCCCTCCCCCCAGAGAACGCATGAAGGAGGCCAGAGACTTTTTATACTGAGTGAACCACTGCAGCGGATGGACACACACACACACAACACACACACACACACACACACACACACACACACACGACACACACACACACACAAACACACGCCACACACACACACAGATCATCAGCTGATTCTAGATTAGAAACAGAAACAAACGGGATCAAATAGAAGCTGCTGCTGAGAACCGAAAACCAAGGATCCTACATTTCCCATAATGCAGCTGGGAGGCACCTTTCATCAGAACCCCCCACTGTCTCACCTCCTCTGCACACATGTGGAAGCGAACATTGGCGGGAAGGACGCTGCCGTACTCCCACCTCAGAGCTCTGATCCTCAGCAGCCGGTCATACCTCAAAACAACAGACCATTGATTTCATTATTGATTGATCACTGATTATCATTTCCTCACTAATGATGTTGACCTGGTGGTGGCGCTAGACAACAAGACGTTTCAGTCTGGACCACAGAGGTGACAGACAGTAAGGGAGTGCAGGTCACATGATGTACAGGTGGTTACAGGTGTGTCAGGTGGTTACATGTGTGTACAGCTAGTTACAGGTGTGTACAGGTGTGTGTCAGGTGGTTACAGGTGTGTGTCAGGTGGTTACATGTGTGTACAGCTAGTTACAGGTGTGTACAGGTGTGTGTACAGCTGGTTACAGGTGTGTGTCAGGTGGTTACAGGTGTGTCAGGTGGTTACAGGTGTGTACAGATGTGTGTCAGGTGTGTGTCAGGTGGTTACAGGTGTGTATACAGCTGGTTACAGGTGTGTACTGATGTGTGTCAGGTGTGTGCCAGCTGGTTACAGGTGTGTACAGATGTGTGTCAGGGGGTTACAGGGGTGTACAGATGTGTGTCAGGTGGGTGTCAGCTGGTTACAGGTGTGTACTGATGTGTGTCAGGAGTGTGCCAGCTGGTTACAGGTGTGTACTGATGTGTGTCAGGAGTGTGCCAGCTGGTTACAGGTGTGTACTGATGTGTGTCAGGAGTGTGCCAGCTGGTTACAGGTGTGTACTGATGTGTGTCAGGAGTGTGCCAGCTGGTTACAGGTGTGTACTGATGTGTGTCAGGAGTGTGCCAGCTGGTTACAGGTGTGTACTGATGTGTGTCAGGAGTGTGCCAGCTGGTTACAGGTGTGTACTGATGTGTGTCAGGTGTGTGCCAGGTGGTTGCAGCGGTGTATACAGCTGGTTGCAGGTGTGTACTGATGTGTGTCAGGTGTGTGTCAGCTGGTTACAGGTGTGTACAGATGTGTGTCAGGTGGTTACAGGTATGCGGTGAGGCAGCGTTGGTTCCTCAGCAGGCAGCAGTGCCGCAGTTTGATTGAGGGAATGAGTTCAGCTCGACCCTCAGACTTCGCCTCGTTACTGAAAGAGAAATAGACAATTGTTTTATCACCTGAACGCACCTGCAGCTCCAGGAGAGAACACACCTGTACAGGTGTACCGGTCTCCCTTCACTGGTCACCAGTCACATATACAACTGACTTTAATATTCTATTTGTTTTTAAAGCCCTCAGACCCACTGATCAGCTGATCAGTAGATCAACTCACTGATGTAACACAGAAAGAAGCTGAAGACACTGAAGATTTGACAGTTTTTACTTGAAAAGTTTGAAAAATTATTAATCGATTATGAAAATAGATGAAAATGTTTTATTTTTTGTTGATCAACTAATTGATTAATTGATTCATTTCAGCTCTAGTTGCTAATGAATTTATCATTTAATTAATTTTTAAGTATATTTGTCTGGTCTAGTCTTGAACTGTTGGTCCAGTAAAACGACGCCTACAGATGTTACCTGCACCTGTATTACATTATAAAGGACTGTCACTTTATATAACAACAACTAATCAATTATAATGTTCAAATTAATTAACAGTGAACATAATTATTACCTGCAGTCAAAAACAAAAATAAAACTAGAACTAACCAAAGTTTAACGGAAGAAAAATCTCTTAAAGAGGCTCCGTCATTATTTTGAAAACTAAAATATCATATTAGTTTCACCTTTAATGGTGAAAATATCACAGGATCCAGATACAGCTGTGTAATAACCTTTAAACAAATAAAACTTAAAACAGAAAACTCGCTCTCAAACTCTCATTACATTCTCACTAAATTTAATTACTGTTTATATAATTAAAATATGAATATCTGATTTCATATTATAACATGAAATAAGACAGTAAAGTGGTTCCTTACACATCGCTCTGGTTCTGCTCGTACAGAGCCTCCATCTCCTGCAGAACCTGCCGCAGTCCGTCCTCCTGAAACGAGACACAGTGCCGGACTTGATTCAGAACTCCACCGGTTTAATGTTGGTTTATCGTTATTAGCATGCACCGCCTGAGAAGATGACTTTACACATGTATGAGGCTAATATTAGCAGCAGATTGATCATTCGGCATACGCAGTAAACGTTACACGACCAAACGTCATCTGAATATTGGTCAATGTGAAGTATTTTTAAAGCGCATGCAGAAACTTTTCCAACCCGATCATCGAAGTTAACGTCGTCAGTTTCACCGTAGTAACAGTTTCTCTGTGGATTCTGTCGGAGCCGAAATGTGAGTCAGTTTTCTATATTGTTTAAAATCTATCAATCATTTTTCTGAGACGTGTGTATTACTGTAAATAAGCAGCAGAATAAAAAATGTAAGATTTTTAAACGGAGTTTGGCCGGTTCTGAGCTACAGAGACGGAACTTCACCTCAGCGGAGGAAACTCACGTTAAAAGCGGGCAGCTGTCCGTCGTTCATCCGGTGAAGTTCTCTGATTAACTCGATGGCTTTCTCACAAAACATCCTGAGGCGGGAAACCACAAACACACGGAGCAGAAATTAGTGAATTAAATCTTTATGCTACCATAAAACCCTGGACTCGTACTGAGGAGGACAGCTCCGTTTCGCGGCTAAACCACCGGAGCGCCGTGTTGTGATCATGTGACTAGATGACGTATCACACCGGAAGCCGCTTTGGGACAAAATCAGCGAAACGAGCCGTCGCTGCTAAACAAGTTTTAACAGTTAAATTTACCAAAGTTATGTTGTGAAGCCGCTGTATCCCCGCAGACTGAGAGGTGAGGGTGTGTGTTTTATTTATATTGATAATTATGAAGGTTAATCAGCTGTTTATCACCGGAAGATCAACGTTTGTAACCCGCGGTGGCATTTCCGTTTAGCAACACCGGCTACAAATAAACCCGTCAGACTGGTCCAGTGTCGGCAAAGAGCCACCAGAGGCGGAAATGGGCTCCGTTACCGGGTCTGCGTGTTGTTATAAAACTGTTACGAAAAGTGGGTGTTATAGTTCGGTCACGTCGATTCTTGGTGAAGCCGATTAGCTTCGCTGCTAACTTCGTTGCTCCATTTGCTGCTGCGTTCAATATCCAAAGGAAAAAACACCTTCTCCAAGAAAACTTGGTTCTCTTCAGGATTGAAATGGTAATTGTTTTTGTTTTACATCTGGAACGTTTCCGTTTTGATTTCACTGGAAGAACTGGTTTAAGTCTAGAGCTGAAACCATTAGTCGGTTCATCGATTGACAGAAAAGTAATCGGCACCTATTTTGATAATCAATTAATCGTCATTTCCAAGCAAAGGTAGTGAAAAAACGCCAGATATTCTTCTTATTTTTGTCTTATATCATCATAGACAAGATATTTTTAGGCTTTGGATCAAACAAAACAAGACATTGAATGCAGCACGTTTGGCTCTGTGAAGCCATGATAGACATTTTTTATGTTGCATACATGAAATGATTAATCAATAAAAATAAAAAGAAACATCAATAATGTAAGTAATTATAAATTACAGTCCTATTTAATCTAATACGGATGACATTTGTGTTTAAGTCAGTGGTTTAAGAAGTACTGAGCTTATTTACTGAAGTAAAAGTATCAGCACTACACAGTAGAAATACTCAGTCGTAGTAAAAGTCCCACATTTAAAATCTAATTTGAATTAAAAGTACAGAAATATTATCAGCTAAATTTATGAAAAGTATTGAATGTAAAAGTGATTGTTTGGCAGAAAAGAGTGATAAAATATATTATACAATTATATTATACATGTATAGTTTAGATAGTTGAGTCCAGTGGTTCCTAACGTAGGGGTCGGGCCCCTCCAAAGGGTCACCAGTTAAATCTGAGAGGTCGTCAGATGATTCATGGGAGAGGAAAGAAGAAGAAACAAAGATCTGATTCAGTGATTTCTTTACCTTTATTTTTGTGAAAATATTGAATAAATTTAAATGTTTGAGCCTCAAATAGTTATGTTGTTGTTATAGTAGAGTAAAGTATGAGGGAGAATCTTTCATTCAAATTACTCTTTAAGTAAGTTACAAGCAAAAAACGATGGAAATCATTGGTTTAGTGATGAACAATGTGTTGTATCTGTTATGAGATTTCATATTTTTTAATTTTGTAAAATCTTAATGTAAAATGTAACTCGTACCTGCAGCTGTCAGATGAATATAGTGCAGTAAAAAGTAAAGTATTTGCAGTGAATTTCAAGTATAAAGTAACAGAAAATGGAAATACTGTAGTAAATGTACTTGTTATTTTCAACCGCTGACTTTAACTAGAACATAAAAGTAAATATAAATTGGGAGAAGGTCAGAATGTCACATTGGTGTTCTCACTGTTAGAAATTCATATGATTTATCAGGATTGCTGTCAGTTTAAGTTTTCTGCCACTTCTTATTTATCACAGTGTTAAATATCTGCAGCTGCTCACCAACACACATCAGATTCTGTGAGAGCCCACAGTCTGTTTTAAAACCTTTCTTTTGTTGGACTAATCTTCCGAGGAGCATTTGAAGGCATCATGCACCAGCTCAGTTTTTTTCAATTTACATAAACCGGTTTTGTTTTGGTTGTCGTTGCTCCGACGCTCCCCAGAGACCGTGGACGCAGCACAGTGAGACCACGCGGCTGTGCTCCTGCCCTGTGATTGGCTACGGCAGCTCGGTGCGGATCAGCTGCTCTCTGCGGGTCTCAGTGCGGAGCGCCGAGCAGCTGGAGGCACAGCCGGGACTTCGCTCCTTCTTCACCGGCTCTCACCGCGCCGTCTCCCGGCAGGATAACGGCCTCCTCCCCGCTGACAGGCCCGCAGTGACGGCTCGTCATTCGCTCGGTTTTCTGTCGTTTACACTTGTTTCCTTCAACGTTTCCAGGGATGCGAAAGCGGAATAACTCGGTGACTGCGGAGCCTGACAGCGGGACCACCGGCACTCTGCTGGACAGCGACCCGGATCTGAAGCAGCGTCCCGGCAGGGGAGCAGCGGGGCTCGCAGCCGGCGACCGGCAGGGCCCGGCAGAGGAGCGGAGTATGGGGAAACCGTTCAGGAGGTAAGAACAGGACCCGGGGCAGGTGTGATAGCACCTGGACTGACTTTTTATTCACATGACACAACAACAAACTGATGGAAACATCATAAAACATCATGTTACTGCAGTTTAAACAAAAATCTAAATAATCAGCTGATGTTGAGTCAAATAGTTTGAAGAGTTTCTGTACTGGAAGAAAAGAAATTCAGATTATTCACAAACACAGCGAACAACATGTTAAACTTAGTTCTGATGTGTGTTTATTGCTGGTTCTTATTCAAGATTTATCCTTTAAAAATAATCAATAAAAATCAATTACGAAACAAACTGAAAAAACTGAGTTAAGAATCAAACACAGTAAAAATAATAACGTGAAAATGAAATAATAAATCAAGACATTGAAAAATGAATTGAATGTGCCTGACACATACAGTATATAATAACATTACAAAATAAATAAAATCCGCAAAGGAATAAATAAAATGGAAGAAATAATATAATTGAATTTATAAAGTCTTTACCTTGGTATTGGATATAATTTAATATGAATTTAAAAAAAAAACATTTTTAATATTTTCTCCAAAACAACCTGATAGACAAGATTGTCATCAGAAACTTTATTTGTTTATTTATTAATATGGTTTCACTGAGATTTTTTTAAAGATACAGAAAAGGAGCTTCCAACACCAGATCAGACCAGTCTGATGAAATGATCTGACTCCAGTGAGCTGGTCTGACTGGTTTCATTGAGACTGAGGGGCTGGTCAGACTGGAAGTTGCAGATGAGTTTAAACAGTCTTCAGTTGTGTTTGACCCTGAGACCTCTGACCTCTGACCTCTGACTGACTGACAATGACCAAACTCATTCAATTCACTTTTCTTTTATTTGTATATTTTTATCTGTCAGATCATCACCATCATCTCAAAGGGCTGATTGATCAGCTGCAGTTATTGATCTGATATCAGTGAAGATTGATCAGGGAGATTCTGACTCCTGAACCTGACTGAGATGATCAGAGAAAACTCACTTTAATCCTGTAAAGCTGAAATGATTAATCAATCAATCAGTCAATTAGTTGCTCAACTAAAAATGAATTGGGAACTTCTTTGATAATGAATTAATTGCTTCGGTTATTTTTTTGTATCAGAAGGTTAGGGTCAGGGTTGTTCATTTACCAGCATTTTCTCTGTTTTCCACTATTTTAAAGACCAAGCAATGAATGAACTGATTGAGAAAATATTGATAATTGATAATGAAGAGGATCATTAACCCCGCGGTGTCTGGGCAGCTTTATTCCTTCTTCACTGTTCTGGAGAGAAAACTGCAGCTGTAGTTTGGATGAAAGCCAAAACAGACAGAAGTTTGTTCCCCGATCAGCTGATCTGCAACGATTAATCGATTAGTCGATCAACAGAAAATGAATCAGCTACCAGCTATTGTGATAAACTGATTCATTGTTGTAGTTGTTTTCTGAGGAAAATGTGTCGTTTCTCAGGTTTAAACAGAATCTTTTTTTATTTTTCTCTGTTGCTTTGATACCACTTTCTGACATTCAGATGGTGGTGACCTCAGAGTCCATGAAGGTCAGAGGTCAGCTGATCAGCAGGAAGTTAACAGTTTAACCATCAGTCTCGGCTTTGACCCACGTTACTTGCCGTAGTTTAGTGTCAGTTCACCTCTAAATAATCTGCTGCGTCCTGTCAGGTGAACGTCGTCAGTCTAATCCTTATTAGAGCGTCTCTCAGATTACACACAGGAAGTCCACCTGAACACACACACACACACACACACACACACACGCACACACACACCCACACACACTAACCTGCTAACGGACTGAGTGTGTTGCTCCCCCCCCCCCCCCCCTCTGCTGCTCAGGTGGGACAGGTGAGGATGCACAGATAGTGTTGAGGTAACTTCATCAGTGCAGAGTGATGTTAGCATTAGCCTCAGAGCTAACCTGTCAGACAGACACTCACTCCTCTGAGGAGGAGGAGGAGGTGCATTTGTTTCGTCAGTTGTGTGATCCTCACAGTCGTCAGCAAACACACACGTGACTCCATCATTACACAGTGAGAGGCGGAGTTCTAACATCAGGTGTGGCGACTCGACCAGAACCAGATATACCAGAGAGAACATCAACATGAAACAGAGGAGGAGAAGAGCAAATCAGTCAGAGTGAAGTCTGCTGAAACAGCAGAACGTTCCTCTCAAGTCTTTGACCTGGTTTAAATCAGATCATCACCACGGCAACAGATGACTGACACCGAGAGGAGGAGGGTCCAGAACCAGAGTTTAGCACTGGATCTTGGCTCTGTTCAGTCAGACAGGAAGTGACATCACTGTGCTGACGTGTGTGTGTGAGGCTCAGGTCACGGGTTTGATCCCTGAGCGTCATCACTTCTCTCAAACTGAAAGAAGAAAGAAGAAGTCTCTGCTTGACTGAGTCAGCGTCTCAGACCTCACATGACCTCAGGTGACCCCCAGAGTTTTTACACCCACTCACCCTCCTGACTGTCTCCTGACCTCTGACCCCTGACAGTGTATCTGTAGTGTTGTGTTGTTGTGGCAGACATGAGCTGCTGCAGATAAAGGAGGTCGGAGTTTCTGTATCTGAGCTGCCGTCATATCTCACTCGTTCTGACGGCAGAAAGACGATTTTGGGGAAATTCAGACTCGACTGTTGAACTTTAACCTCGGAGCTCCGGGTCTGAATCTGTCACAATCGCCGTCTGATGGGGACAGAGAAGAAGAAAGATCGAAACAGACTTTTGACTTTGTGTGAAAACTGATGTGTTCATGTTAGTGATTTAAAACCATTAATGAGGAAGGAAACAGTCTTATTTTAATATCATTTGATAAATATAGTTTCAGTTATTGAAATTGTTGTATTTCTGTAAATGCTTTATGAGTGTGTGTCAGTTACTCCACTGAACCTAGCCGAATAAAATTACACACTCTACATGTTTGTTAGAGCACTTTACAAGAAAGCTTTTAATTTGAAGGTCACAGGATGTTCAGCTCAGGCTTGAATCCTGAAATAAATCAGATCAGTTTTTTATGGATCTGAACTCTGATTAGTTTAGAATCAGGAAGTTGATGGTTTGATCCATGTGTGACATCATAAATAATGATAAATTCTGTCTCAGACCTGCTGTTACCTCAGAGCTGATGCTGCAGTCTGACTTCCTGTTTACTTACTCATCACTTCCTCACCGTCTGTGTGTGTGTGTGTGTGTGTGCTGGGGGGAGGAGGGGTTCCAGGGCAGAGGACTGACTCTTCAGACCCCCACCACTCCACCATTGAGATGATAATTATCCTGATGGTTTTACCCCCGTTTCTATGACGACCAGCTTTCAGTCTGATTTATAGTGTGCGTTCAGAACAGCTTTCAGGCTTTTTATAAACATGTACTTTTTCTGACTGAACAATGAAAAGATGATTTAATTTAAAATCCACATTATTACCAACAAAGAAGAATTCAAATAGATAGAAATAGAAATAAAAATACTTTATTTTTATCATACAGTGAAAATACATCAGTCAGGAAAGTGTCAGTTAAAAAAAATTAAAATAGATTCACACACATGAAGCACAGACTGTAAACAAAGATGGCCGTCGCCTCTGTGATGTCACTCACAGGTTTCTGAAGCTCAGAGTGAGCTGCTCTACTGTTGCCATATTGGCAGTGTCTGACCCCGCCCCCTCACTACCAGCTAATTAAAATATGGTCAAAGAGGCGGGGCGAGAGGGGAGCAAGTTGTGGCAAGCATACGCTCACCCACCTGCCACTCAGGGGGGTACATGGCTGGAGGTCAGATGTCTGAAGGGGTACGTGGCTGTGAAAAGTTTGGGAACCACTGTGCTAGAGGAAACGTCAGAGGATGATCAGAGTTATTAGGGTTTATCCTGAGGAGAACATGAACGTCTGAACCACAGTGGAAAAATAACCGACGTTAGCATCAGAGCTAAAAACATTCAAATTAATAAATTAGATCAAATATATCAGATGTGTCTCTGCTCTACTTCCTGTCTCATCAGCATCGTAGCGGAGACAGTAGAGAAACTGAGACGTCTCATTTCCGTTTATTTCCTGTATCTGTGTGACGTGGGTTTCTCCACCTCCCCGCCCCTTTAGGAGACCAGAAGGAGTGTATTCATTCCGATGGGCGAAGTGAACGAGATCACAGATTATCACAGATTCTTTCGCTCCATAGTCACCGAAATAAATATTGGACCCAGTTTCCAGAAGCCAAACGTCTTCAGAACATTCTGACATCAAAATGACATTTTTCAGATCAACAGCTCAGGAGAAAATCAACTTTATTGGAGAATTGCCTCTGTCTCAGTGCCATACTCTCACGAGATTTGTCAACTGCCAACATCGTTTACCAACCAATAACCAGATGTTTAGATGGACCAGTTATTTTTGGATTGACTTACTTATACAATAAACCATGGATTAAACTTTAAAACTCAAATAAAACTTGTTTCTTTGCTTAACAACTGCTAAAACAGATTATTAGCCTCTTAAATTACATGACTTTTTACTGGGCTGATCAGATGTCGTTAGCAGATAGAAACAGCAGCAAAAAAGGCCCAAATTTGTCCACGTTGTCTCGTCTATTGTTGTATTGTTTTGGCAGGGACAAGTAACAGCTACAGTCACATTTCATGTCAGTTGCCTTCGCTCGAGGGAGGGGTTGAGGGGGACAACACCCACTTAGGAGACTGGAACTGTCATACCATTGGTGCCGCCTGTAATGCGGTGTCTTCTGTAGAGAGGATCTTTGATCGTAGTCATCGTATCGTTCAACGGGTTCTCTGGTTCAGGATCAGGATCCAGCAGCTGCTACAACTGACAGAAAACTAATCTGAACTATTTTCATTAATGTTTTTTAAAGCAGAACTTCACTGGTTCCAGTTTTGTACATGTGTTTATATTGTTTTACTCTTCCATCATATTAAAGGAGCTGTTCCTAAGTTTTACTATTTCTACGTTGCTAACATTAGCATTAGCAACTGTTTACTTTGCAGTCTCACCAAGAGCTTCAGCCACTGTTGTGTTTATTATATAGAGGTTATAACACCTGAGCAGCTACGTCTTCAGGTCAGACTGGAGACTACAGTGACTCGGCTCCAGCTAGCTTCTAGCATGCTAACTTCAGTAGAAGAAGAGAAGTAGAAATAGAAGCAAAATAAGAGGGTTGTTTTCCACCTCTGGAGACAGATGTTGGTGAATAAAGAGATGAAGTTTACAGCGTTTCTTCTAGTCTGGTGAATAAATGGATGCTAATGCTAATGCTAGCTATGTAGCATTAGCAACAACTTACAATTAGCTGCTTTAAACAGAATCTCTTTGGTTTTTGTGAGTCAAGAGGTTTGAAACGTCTCCTCAGACTCAGCAAACCGCCATCTTGTAAACCAATCAGTGAATTGAAAAAATAATCAATAAAATAATTGATAATTAAAATAATGATTAGCAGTAGTCTGTAGTCCAGGTCCTCCTCCACACACTTCAGTCCTCCACTGCCAGCTCTGTCTCTGGTGACTGACGGGGTTTTGTGTGTCCTGCAGCCTTACCCCCCCCCCACACACACACACACACACACACACACACACACACACACACACACACACACCCCTCTCTGCGGTGGGCTCACCTCTGTGTGACCTTGAGGTTGCAGCATGCAGCTCCACACCAGCTAATAATACTGCAGGCTCTGTGCCAGCTGGACACACACGTTACACTGACCACACACACATGCACGAAACGCACGTGCACACACACACGCACACGCACACACTGTGGTGCAGGGATTTAATGAAGGATCAGATCTGAAACACTGATTTTGATTAAAAAAAAACGGTTTCTTCTTCTTCATGGACAAACATCAGAACTGAGAACAGCTGATCTGATGGAGGAGGTGGACATGTTGGATCCGTCCTCTACATGTCCTCTACTAGTCCTCTACATGTCCTCTACTTGTCCTTTACTAGTCCATGTCAGCATCAACAAAACCAGGACTTGTAATTGATTCTGAACTAAATATTATTTTACACACAAACATCATTAAATTATCTTCAATCATCTCAGAAACATCTAGAAACCTGATCTGACCCCTGACCCCACTCTGTATCTGACACACCAGTTTATCACCCAGGTCCCTTGGGTCCCGGTAAAACTTTCAGGTCCCACCAAAACCTTCAGATCCCAGGAATTTTTAGGATTGATTTATTAATAATTTGGTCTTTTTTAAATTGGCGCAATTAAACTAACATGATGAGGATTCCGGTATAAGACCATTATTAATGATGTAACCAGGTTGAAGATGTTTTAATCAGATTACTGGTCTCTAACGTGGAGAAGTTTCACTCTGAAGACGCAGAGTCTGTTCACATGAATAATTCAAGTCCTCAGACCTGGATCCTGTAACAGCAGCAGTGTTATCAGAGCTCAGCTTACACACACACACACACACACACACACACACACACACACACACTGAGTGGGCTCAGATAGCAGCTTGAACCTGTCGGGACTAAAATAAACTGAGTGTTGCAGCAGAAAGTGAGAAATCGAATCTGGAGATTAAAGATTAAAGAGGTTGCAGCTGTTTGAACTTGATCATTTCCTCTGATGGTTCCTGTTTCTACACAGTCCAGTTCCAGGTCTGGGAACTGGATCTGGATATAAATGGATGGACCAGGCTCAGGTTCACCTGGATGTTGTGAAACTCCTCTTATATTAAAACATAATGATCACGTTTTATGAACGATGACTCTGTGTGTTGTTGATGTTCAGTCTGACAAAAATGTTGGTGTCATAGTCGGAGCCCGTAACAACACAGGCCCAATATTCATTTGAATGATGAGGATGGAACTGAATGAGACCAAGAGGAAACAGGAACACGATGTTTGTCTGCTCTTGTCGTTGGCTTTTAATGTTTTAATATAGAATTTATTTTCTAATCATTATTTATATTTTGATTTATATTTTTGTATGATTACATCTTTTCACCACAGTTATACTGTTTTGCAAATGATTTGTCGGCCCACTTGTAATAGCTTCGCGGCCCACCAGTGGGCCCCAACCCACAGATTGGGAACCACTGCACTAGACGATAATTGAGATTATTTATTATATTACAGGAGGACAAGAGTAACAGTCCGTCTGTGTCTCGCTCTCCCTGTCCAGTCGGGTCCAGTCTGATGTGGACTGTGTTGTGTCCTCAGGTTGGGTGTGATGGGGAAGCTGAAGAGGATCCTGCTGTGGCTGCTCGTCGTCTACGTCTCCATCCCCTTCATCATCAAACTCTGTCCATCCATCCAGGCCAAACTCGTCTTCCTAAACTTCGGTGAGTGTGACAAAGGTTTCCCTCCTTTAGCTGCCTCCCTGCTTTACTTTGGACACTGATACAGAGATTTTCACAATAAAAAACTGTTTTATTGTGATTGTAAAATGTAATCTTAAAGCGACTGAGCTCAACAGTCACTTTAAACCTTAACCCACCTCTGACATGTTGTTTGTGGTTCCACGTTTGTCCCTGAAGGAGCAGAACCATAATTCAGTTTGTTTTAACAGGTTCCTGGTTCTGAGCGTTTTGGATCTGGTTCTAATTTAGAGCCAGAGGTCAGCAGGTTTCTGTTTCTGACACCTGATAGAGCGGGAACACACAGAGTGATTGACAGCAGGTGTAACAGAAGAAGTGTGTCAGTTAGCAGCAGTCGTCATGTTACCTGTCAGTGACCTCTGACCTCTGACCCCTCCCCATTCAGTGAGGATGCCGTACTTCATTGACCTGAAACAACCTCTGGACCAGGGACTGAACCACACACACAACCGCTACCTGGAGCCTGAAGCTGGACTCAAGATCGGAGTCTGGTAAGACACACACACAAACACACACACACACACACACACACACACACACACAAACACACAAACAAGCCTATGACAGGTTCAGGTGGGCGGAGCCTGTAAAGCAGGAAGTGTATGTGTTTTGCAGGCACACAGTTCCTGCTCAGATGTGGAGAGAAGCTCAGGGGAAAGAAGGCGAATGGTATGACTCCACGTTTAGCTCCACCCACCCCGTCATCCTCTATCTCCATGGAAACGCAGGGACTAGGTGACCCCTCCCACCCACACACACACACACACACACACACATACACACACAGACATCTGCGTCAGTCCCATATTGTCATGTATGACCTTTGACCTTTCTGTTGTTGTTTGTGCAGAGGAGGAGACCACAGAGTCCAGCTGTACAAGGTGAACACACATACACACACGTTCATGCTGATCACCACCAGAGGTCACATGACTGACCTTCTCTCTGCCTGTCTTCCTTCAGGTCCTCAGTTCATTAGGCTACCATGTAGTCACCTTTGATTACAGAGGTGAGAGACTGACTCGTCCACACATGAAGAAACACACCTGCTGCTTTAACACTAACAGCTGACGCGTGTGTGTGTGTGTGTGTGTGTGTGTGTGTGTGTGTGTGTGTGTGTGTGCAGGCTGGGGGGATTCGGACGGCTCTCCATCGGAGGGGGGGATGACATCAGATGCCCTCTTCATCTATGATTGGCTGAAACAGCGTCTGGATAAAAAGCCGCTTTATATCTGGGGACACTCTCTGGGGACAGGGTAATACACACACACACACACACACACACACACACAAACACACACACACACACACCTGCACATAAGGTCAGTGATTCAATCTGATTGTTTGTCTCTTGTTTTGCAGAGTTGCCACAAACCTGGTCAGACGACTGTGTGACAGAGGTGTGACACACACACACACACACACACACACACACACACACACACACACACATACTCTTGCAGCTGCTTTCCCTGTTAGCTAATTGATTAGCTTAGCTGTTTAGCTTCTCCTGTTAGCCTCATCCACATCAGTACAACAGGTGTTCCACTTCACCTGGACAGTGTTAATGTACCATAATTAATTTTCACATTTCAAGGTTTTTAAATTTTGATTCTCAGTTCTTTGTTTATCTGAGACTCAGTTTAAAAGATTAAAGATTCACTTAAATCCTCCTGTTGATCAGTTTTCAGTTGAAGAATTAATATTAAATATTAAATATTAAATATTAAACATTACACATTGAATATTAAATGACTGGACTCATATTGATCCTTGTGTTTTCAGGAAGTCCTCCTCACGCTCTGATCTTAGAGTCTCCATTCACCAACATCAGAGAGGAGGCCAAGAGCCACCCCTTCTCCATGGTAACACACACACACACACACACTCACACACACAGCGGACAGGTTGAAGTGTGTATTTGATGTGTGTATGTTTCTCAGGTGTACAGATACCTGCCCGGCTTTGATTGGTTCTTCCTGGACGCCATCACAGCCAACAACATCCGCTTCGCCAGCGACGAAAAGTAGGTGACCTTCAGCCTCGGCATCTGTGACATTTGACCTTTGACCGTTCACACAAGCATCACAAGCTCGACTGCCTCAGTTCTCTTACCAGAAACTGCTGAACTTTAAAGACCTTGACAACAGCTTGAAAGTCTTAGAGACCGAGGTCAGGAAGTTTTAACTTCCAGACTTCCAGACTCAGATTTAGACTCACAGATCTCTTTTTGGGCAGTTATTGCCTTTATTTGGACAGAGGCAGTGAGAGAGTGACAGGAACGTTGGGGAGAGGGAGGGGAGGACATGCAGCAAAGGGCCACGGGTTGGACTCGAACCCACGGACGCTGAGGTCAGGACTCAGCCCCAATGCACAGTAGCTCAGGAACAATGTTTCTCTCCCCATGAACTTTTGTCCGAAGCTCAGACACTTAAGTTTAACTCAGTTCTCAGTATCTTCTCTGTTACAGTTTAATCAGGATCAAGATGTTTTTGAAATTCCAACTTTTTTAGGAACTCAAACTTTTTTCTTTGTTTTTCAAGTTAAGAAACTTTTTTTAGAAGTTCAGCAAACGTTCAGGAGCTCTTGAAATGTTTTTGGTCAGGAGCTTTTTCAAGAACTTATGAACTCGTTGAAACTCAGAACCTTTTTTGAAGTTGCAGGAGCCTGAAACTCTCAACTGAGTCTGAGCTGCTGCAGAGTCTGGTCCAGGTCCAGATAAAGTCTGAGGGTTGTAATCTTAGTGAACTGGTTCTGGACCAACAGCTGATTACCAGACTCAGACTGAGGACAAAGTCCACAACAGACTGATCCCAGAAATGTTTATATCCGTATTACAGCTGGTGACCTTTGACCCTGCAGGTGTTTCCCTCCCAGATACTACAAACAGCAACACATCAATCAGCTGCTAAAAACACATGATGATAAATAATAAAGTTTTATTTCATTAAAATGAAATCAGTTGTATTGATTAGTTTCTTCCCTTTTTATAAACTCCACTGTTTATTGATCTTTGATGTCACACATGTACCATCACTATCACAAACACCATCACTAACACCAACACTATCACTAACACCATCACTAACACCATCACTATCACAAACACCATCACAAACACCATCACTATCACAAACACCATCACTAACACCAACACCATCACTATCACAAACACCATCACTAACACCAACACCATCACTATCACAAACACCATCATCAACACCATCACTATCACAAACACCATCACTAACACCATCACTATCACTAACACCATCACTAACACCAACACCATCACTATCACAAACACCATCATCAACACCATCACTATCACAAACACCATCACTAACACCATCACTATCACTAACACCATCACTATCACAAACACCATCACTATCACAAACACCATCACTAACACCATCACTATCACTAACACCATCACTATCACAAACACCATCACTAACACCATCACTATCACAAACACCATCATCAACACCATCACTATCACAAACACCATCACTAACACCATCATCAACACCATCACTATCACAAACACCATCACTAACACCATCACTATCACAAACACCATCACTAACACCATCACTATCACAAACACCATCACAAACACCATCACTATCACAAACACCATCACAAACACCATCACTATCACCAACACCATCACAAACACCATCACTATCACAAACACCATCACAAACACCATCACTAACACCATCACTATCCACAAACACCATCACTAACACCAACACTAACACCATCACTATCACCAACACCATCACTATCACCATCACTAACACCATCACTATCACCAACACTATCACCAACACCATCACAAACACCATCACTATCACTAACACCAACACCATCACTAACACAACACCATCACAACCACCATCACTAACACCATCACTATCCACAAACACCATCATCAACGCCATCATTAAGACCAACACTATCATCAACACCTTCACTATCTCAAACACCATCACTAACCCCATCACTATCCACAAACGCCAGCATCAACACCAACACCATCATTAACACCATCACTAACACCATCCCTATCCACAAACACCATCATCAACGCCATCATTAAGACCAACACTATCATCAACACCTTCACTATCTCAAACACCATCACTAACCCCATCACTATCCACAAACGCCAGCATCAACACCAACACCATCATTAACACCATCACTAACACCATCCCTATCCACAAACACCATCATCAACGCCATCATTAAGACCAACACTATCATCAACACCTTCACTATCTCAAACACCATCACTAACCCCATCACTATCCACAAACGCCAGCATCAACACCAACACCATCATTAACACCATCACTAACACCATCCCTATCCACAAACACCATCATCAACGCCATCATTAAGACCAACACTATCATCAACACCTTCACTATCTCAAACACCATCACTAACCCCATCACTATCCACAAACGCCAGCATCAACACCAACACCATCATTAACACCATCACTAACACCATCCCTATCCACAAACACCATCATCAACGCCATCATTAAGACCAACACTATCATCAACACCTTCACTATCTCAAACACCATCACTAACACCAACACCATCATCAACACCATCACTATCACAAACACCAACACTATCACAAACACAAACACCATCATGAACACCATCACTAACACCAACACCATCATCAACACCATCACTAACACCAACACTATCACTAACACCATCACTAACACCAACAACATCACTAACACCAACACCATCATCAACACCATCACTAACACCAACACTATCATCAACACCATCACTAACACCATCACTATCACAAACACAATCATGAACACCATCACTAACACCAACACCATCACTAACACCAACACCATCATCAACACCATCACTAACACCAACACCATCACAAACACCAACACCATCACTAACACCACCACTGTGTCTGACTGTGAATTGTGTCTCCTCAGTGTGAATCACATCTCCTGTCCTGTGTTGATTCTCCACGCTGAAGACGACGGTGTGGTTCCCTTTCATCTGGGCAAGAAGGTATAAACAACAACCATTTAATAAACGTGTTCTTGATGCTTTTATTTTACCCGACACTGTGTGAACAGCAAACAATTGAACCGAACCCCCTCCTCCTCTACCTCATTTTCCTCCTTCATCAGCTATACAACATGGCTTCGCAGTCAAAGAGCCTCAGTGGTCACAAGGTTCAGTTCGTTCCCTTCTCATCGTCTCTGGCCTACAAGCATAAGTTCATCTACAGGAGCCCAGAGCTGCCAAACATCCTCAGGTATCTCCTCTGTCTGTCTCCCTCTCTCCCTCCCTCTCATAGGTAACCTGAGTGATGACAGATACAATTTTTATGTATATATATATATGTATAGAGATAGATGTGTGTGTTTATATATGTGTATATATGTATATGATTACAAGCAGTTATATACGTTAAACTGTGGCAGGCAAATCAAATTTAATCTTAATTTAATACTTCAGTTAATAATAAATTACTACATTAATGGGAAAACATTTATTTATAGTTATTTTTATATGGGTACTTGATAGTATAGATGTAAATGTATATGTGGTATGGAGATGCACATGATACACATGAACTATACTGTCACTCACCCTGTTGATTTATGATGCACTGTGTTCTGTGAGTAGAAAAAAAACCATCAGATCTAGGGCTGTCCCAAACGATTATTCTTTAAACGATTAATCTAGCGATTATTTTTTCGATTATTCGACTAATCTAACGATTATTTTTTTATTAACCTAACAGTAATTTGCGAGTAGTGTGCGAGCCTTTTTTGCCGCGTGTTGCTCCACACGCTCCGTCCTACTGCTGGTAGACGCCGCCATGTTGTTCAAATAGATTACACAGACGCAAATCATTCACGTAGTCAATGACTTCAATTACGTCACCGCGTTGTCCCAGCCCTTGCGCTGCGCTTGTATCCAGGTAAACCAAAGACGATGGATATAAACAGTCCCATTAGAAAGTTCCGGTTTTGTTCTATGAACATTTACCCTGTGTGGTTTTACACGACGCGTCGACACTAAAATTCCATGGTCGAATAATTTTTATAATCAACAACGTCGATTACGTCGGATAATCGTCCCAGCCCTAATCAGATCAAAACGTTTGTGTCAAATGTTTAAAGAACGAGAAATGTTGAATGTTTCATTAACATTAACTGACACAATAAAGTATTAAAAAACAAGTCAAATATCATCTTGACTTTTAAGCAATCAATGTTCGATCAATGATCATAGATCACAGACTCGGCCATCTGTTCAACCCTAGTTTATACTCACGGTACTGTCAGAATGGTTTCCATTGGTCGTTTTAACAATTAAATTTAATGCAACAAATAAATATGGATTCACTTCACGCCCACGACCACACCCACTGAAATGAATTCATTCTACACCAGAAGTTTCAATATTGTGTTTCTGTTTGGACCCTGAACTTGTTTGTTTGTTTGTTTGTTTTTTGCAGCGATTTTCTCGGCTCAGCTCATCCCGACTCACAGTGAGAAGGACGACACACACTCTCACTGCACCACACACACACTTTACTCTTTGTTTTCAGTGTGACTGATGGGACTGAACACACACACACATCATTCCTTTTCTCTCCGTTAGCATTCCTCACACACACACACACACACACACACACACACACACACGCATGACGTTGGCTTCACAGCACACAGGTTATCGAGCGTTTTTACGTACTGTAGAGCGAAGACAAGGACAAAGATCAAACCAAACTGGACGACAGACAGAGAGACATGAAGTGAAGAATCTCTGTTTTTATCTTTTTAATATTTTATCATTACAACCCAACACATGCACACACACACATACACACAGCGAGAGCTCGACTCTTTTCAACGTGTGTGATTAATTTCTGGTTTGTTTGCGTTGTCGGTTTTTACTCTCTGGTCCATCTGATCATGTTTGACTCTGGTTTCTGGAGGATTCAGGGTCTGGGTTGTTTGTAAAACTTCTCAGTTTGAAGGCCTGTTATGACTTGAATTATGAATTAAATATTTCTTGTTCTATGTATCTGGTTTCTGTGTCTTTCTGCACATTTGTCTATAACAGTAACAGTCTAAAACAAGTATGTGATTGATAAACAACTTTATGGCCAAAAAGGGTTACAGTGCAAGAAAACATTATTTTCAGTAACAGACATCAGCACAGTCGAAACAGCACTTAATGAAAACTGACAAAAGCTTTTCAGTTTGAGTCAAACTGACTTTTATGTTGAGCAAACACTGGTTCTGAATGGACTCCATTACCCACAGTGACCTGCACACATTACTGTCATTTCCATTTTAACTTATGAATACCATAAATGTCAAAGGTGAGCTAACAGGGCACACAAACATGTCAATTAAAATAAGTTATAAAATGTCATAGTATAATAAGGCATAAAAAAAGTCATGGTTACGTAAGGCATAAAAGGTCATAAAAAGTCTTAGTTTAGTAAATGATAAAAAGTCAGTACAGCAAGGCATAAAAAGTCATAAAAATGTCATACTATAGATAGATACTTTATCTATCCCTTAGGGGAAATTCATGTGTCCATTAGCTCATTGTTGATAATAATAAAAACAGTTAATAATAAATAAACAATAATAATTACATTAGTCCACATCCTTTGGCTGAGGTGTTGTATAGCTTGATGGCAGTGGGAACAAAGGATCACCTGAACCTCTCTGTTCTGCAGCGCTGTGAGATGAGATGTTTGCTGCAGCTGCAGCTGCTTCTCTGTCCTGCCAGAATGTTGTGGAGAGGACGGTTATTGTCCAAGATGGCCTCCATCTTACATTGGATGCCTCCCTCCACAACAATCATAAGTGAGTCCAGACTGGGCACAGATGCAGCCTCTTTGACCAGCTTGTCCAGTCTCCTCATGTTCATGTCTGACATGCTGCTTCCCCAGCAGACTGCAGCATTAAAGAGTCCACTGGCCACCACTGACTGATAAAACATGTGCAGCATTTCACTGCAGACATCACAGGACCTGAGCCTCCTGAGGAAAAAGAGCCGGCTCCGCCCCTTCAGGTAGATGGCATCCGTGTTCAGGGACTAGTCCAGTTTACTGTCCAGGTGCACACCTAGGTATTTATAAGGGTGCACCACCTCAAAGTCCTTCACTTGAATGTTGACTGGCTAAAGGGCCTAGACATCCGAAAGTCGATGACCATCTCCTTGGTCTTGGAGGTGTTCAGAAGGAGGCAGTTCTTGTCACTCTATTCACTGAAGGCCATCATCAGATCCCTGTACTCTCTTCCTGTCCGTTACGCGCCACAAAAGCTGTGTATTTCTGGATGTGGGAAAACTCAGACTTGTATTTAAAGTCTGCTGTATACAAGGAGAACAAGAACGGAAGAAGGCATAAAAAGTCATGCTGTAGTAAGACAGAAAAAGTAAAAAAAAAAATGAAATGGTATAGTAAGGCATAAGAAGTCAAAAAACGTCATATTATAGTGAGGCATTAAAAGTCATAAAAGCGACAAAGTATAGTCAGGCATAAAAAGTCATAGAAAAGACATAGTATAGTAAGGCATAAAAACAACATAGTATGGTAAGGCATTAAAAGTTAAGAAACATCATATAAAGTCATAAAAAGTTATTAAAATGTCATAGTTTAGTTAGGCATAAGAAGTCATATTACAGTAAGGCATAAAAAGTCAAAGTCATTGTACAGTAAGGCATAAATAGTCATAAAAATATCATAGTAAAATGCGAAATAGCATTGTAAGGGATAAAAAAAACATAGTATGGTAACACATGAAAAAGTCATAGTACCGTAAGGCATAAAAATGAGGCATAAAATCGTGTTAGTATAATAAGAAATAAAAAGTCATAAAAAGTCATAGTTTAGTAAGACATAAAAACTCATCGTATCGTAAGGCATAAAAATATAATACAGGCTTAAAAAGTAAGAAAAAAAGTTATACTATAATAAGTCATAATATGTCATAGTATAGTAAGGCATAAAAATGTCATTGTACTATAAGGAATGAAAAGTCATTAAAAAAGTCATAGTATAATAAAGCATATGAAGGCTAAAAAATTGTATAGTGAGGCATAATTAGTCATAGTACATTAAGGATTAAAAAGTCATAAAAAGTCATAGTATAGTACATCAACAAGTCTATATTATAGTAAGCAATAAAAACGCCATAGTACAGTTAGGCATAAAAATGTCATAGTATAGGAAGGGATAAAAAAGTCATAGTATAGTGAAGCTTACAAATGAAGTTATACTATACTAAGTCATAATATTTCATAGTAACGTAAGGCATAAAAAGTCATAGAAGAAAGGCATGAAAAGTCATTGTACAGTAAGGGCTTAAAAGTCATAAAAACGTCATATAATGAGGCATAAAAAGTCAAAGTCATTGTTCAGTAAGGCATAAAAATATCAAAATATCATAGTACAGTAAGGCATAAAAGTCATAAAAAGTCATAATACAGAAAGGCATTAAAGTCATAAAAAATTAATACTATAGTAAGGCACCAAAAAGTCATAGTACAATAAGACATAAAAAGTCAGAAAAGTCACAGTATAGTGAGGTATAAAAATGTCATGAAAAAGTCATAGTATAATAAGGCATAAAAACTTCTTGTATAGTGAGGTATAAAATGTCATTGCACAATAAGTAATAAAAAGTCATAGAAAAGTCAGTGTAGTAAGGCATAATTTAGGCATAAAAAGCCATGGAAGTAAGGTATAAAAAGTCATTGAACAATAAGGAATGAAAAGTCATAAAAAAAAAGTCATATTATAGTATGGCATAAAAGTTAAAAAAAAAAAAAGTCCTGGTATAATAAGGCATAGAAAGTCATTTTATCATAGGGAATGAAAAGTCATAAAAACGTCATAGTATATTGAGGCATAAAAAAGTCATGGAAGTAATGCATTAAAAGTCATTGAACAATAAGGAATGAAAAGTCATAAAAAAGTCATAATATATTGAGGAATAAAAAAGTCAGAATAGTAAGTCACGACATGACATTAAATTGACACGAACTTCTCAGTCAGATCCTCCTCAGTGAGAAAGAAGAAATCTGATTGGACGTCAGTGCAGGTGATCAGAACAAGATGAACTCACAGACTCAGGAAATAAAAACAGATTGTTGCTCCTTGTCTCAACACTTTATTGCAAAAATACAGAATCTTTCTGTCAGCACAGCATGGAAACACAAGCCTGCAGAGACGGAGACAGTCCATCCCAGCGGACATGTTGACCATCAGAGCAGGATAGACAGACATCTGCAGGTCCTGGTTCTGACTCACTTAGGTAAAACCTGATTTACCTGTGATTCACCTGCTGTGATGAGTCATCGTGTCAGCTGAGAAAACGTCTGTAGAATCAGCAGAAGAAGAAAAGTGAACTCCAAATGCTGCTCAGCTGCTGAGAGGAACCAGAGAAAACATCTTCATTCAGATTCATCATGTTTCTGTTTTTAAATCAAGCGTTTGTTTTCATCTTTAAACTGAAGCTAAATGAATTCAGAGGCAGGAAGTTAAAGGACGCAGCAGCTGAGCAGCTTCAACAGTGAATGTGATGATTTCCTACTAAAACAATCATCTAAAGAATCTAAACTTTAAACATCTGAATCTTCTGTTAATCTGTTAATTTGTACAGTTTATCTGCACTGTAGAAAAATAAGATTCAAAAATACCAAAACCAACAGAATCAAATCTGAAAAAAGCAAAAAGCCAAAAGCAAAAAATAAAAGAAAAGTTATTTTCTCCTCATCTGAATCTTTGACACTTTCTGTTGCATTGTTACTTAACTCAGGTCTGGTCTGACACACAGTCAATCAATCAATCAATCAATCAATCAATCAATATGTCAGCAGATAAGAGTTTGTGTCCTGGTTTTCAGCAGGATTTCCACTGTAATTATCATTATCTCCATTAACCTGCAGACTTCAGACCAGACATGGGTTTGTTTGTTTTATGTCACCCGGAGCACTGGGTGGGCGGGGTCAGCACTGGGAGCAGAGCGCCCCTGGATTCTTGGCAGTAGGACAGAGGTCTGTCAGTCTGTGAACAACAGCATTCATGATTTAAGGTGATCCTTCATCTTCTACCAGACGTGGTCTGACCAGGTTGAGGTCTGACCCGGTCTGAGTAGAACCAAAGAAGCATGTCTCTGAACAGAGAGATGTCGACAGAAGCAGCAACAAGCTAAAGAGACTCTAGTCCAGCTGCAGGGAAACATCTGGATTTGTCTTTGTTACAGTAAAGTATAGAGATTCTTCAGGCTAACAAACAGGTCTGAAAACATGCTAAATATTAGCTGCAACTCCTTCAAAATAAAAGCTTCAGTTATTGATCTAAAATCCTCTAACAGGCTGTGGACTCGGCCCCACCCACGGGGGGGCTGTCCCACACAAGGCGACTAACAGACTTTAGAAAACTAGACCAGGTCTACAGCAGAGTAACACAGCTGATCTGACAGGCTACAAAAATAAATAGAGTAAGTGGATTTCAATCAGAGTCTGGAGGAAGTAGCTCGGACTCTACTTCCTGTCCTTCAGTCTCGTCTCATGTCTTTCACTTCCTGTTTGATGTGTCCAGATGTGAGGATCCAGCTGCTGTCAGATCCACCACAGTCCAGAGTCCAGAGTCCATGCAGCTAAAGTGAATATCAGACATGAAGCTTCAGCTGATGATGATGATGATGAAGGTTTATGACAGTCTCCTATTCGAATTAGTGAAAGGATGACCAGGAGGCAGCAGAGGTCATCTTCATCATCTTCATCATCTTCATCATTTTCATCTTGCTTTACCTCCATTAGAAACCTCAGTGTTCAGTCCATCAAACACACAATGATGTCATGATGTTGTGATGTCATGATGAGGCTGCAGCCCTCCTGGCCAATCACAGAGCTGTACTCTGCTGTCTGAAGAGACGTTGGCACTTTCTGAAAAAAGGACATGTGACTCCTTCTGTTGTGTGGGGAGTGGGGGCTGATCAGCTGACCGGGCGGAACCGAGCCACGTAGGCGCCACAGGTCGAGCAGTAGGGGCGTGGCGGCTCAGCAGGAAGCTGCTGGCAGAGGGAGCAGAGCTGGGGGTCCCTGCGGGGCCAGGGGGCGGCGGGCTGGTGGGGGTGGCTCCTCTGGAGTGTCTGGTGGGGGCGAGTGGTGCGGAGGTCCCAGGTGGAGCTGGACTGGACACTCCTGTAGTCGGCATCACAGCGCCAGTCGCTCTCAGGTGGGACGTCTAGGCGGAGTGGCTGGGCGGGGGCATCTCCCGGCAACCTGAGGGGGTGTGGAGCGTAGAGGGACGACCCGTTGACCTTACTGGGCAGTGATGGTTGCCGGTAGTGACCATTCCTGTTGGAGGAGCGGCAAGGGTGGGACAGGGTGGCGTAGAGACTCTGAGGACTAGGCCGGGGGGCAAGACTGGAACCAGCTCTGGGCCTGGGGAGGGAGGAGGAGGAGGAGGAGGAGGAGGGAGGCGGGGCTCGCCGAGGAGTGCGGGGTAGAGTCCCGTAACTCAGCGCGACACTGTGGAGGCCTTGACCTGAGAGAGTCTGATGCCGGTCAGACACAACCAGAAACTGCTGCTGGACCCCGGGTCCAGATCCTGGGGTGGGTGGGGGTGGGGGTGCGGGGTGGGGGGTGGGGAGGTGGGGGGGTAGGAGAAAGAGGTGAACTGTTAGAACACAGAGACAAAGACTCTTCATTAACTCAGATCAGCTGCTGCAGACTCTGACCCAGAGTCCAGGACCCTGTTCAGACTAAAACCTGCAGGGTGGGATCAGGTCTGGGTCTGGGTCTAGTTCAGGTCTGGGTCAGGTCTGGGTGTAGTTCAGGTCTGGGTCAGGTCTGGGTCAGGTCTGGGTCAGGTTTGGGTGTAGTTCAGGTCTGGGTCCAGTTCAGGTCTGGGTCAGGTCTGGGTCAGTTACATGATGAGGTGACAGAGCTGGATTCTACTTTAATGTTGGTGACTGTTTGTTGTTTGTTGACTGTTTACAGGCCGTCGCCTGTGATCTGTTGAGTCTCTGTTTATTATTTATTAGTTTATTTATATTATTTACTCTGCTTCCTGTTTACTCCTCATCTTCACTGTTTATCTATAAATAAAGTTTGTTATTCTTCTTCTTATTGTTGTTGTTTTTGTTGTTTATCTCAGGTGAGACTCGGGTGAGACTCGGGTGGGACTCGGGTGAGACTCGGGTGGGACTCGGGTGGGACTCGGGTGAGACTCGGGTGAGACTCGGGTGGGACTCGGGTGAGACTCGGGTGGGACTCGGGTGAGACTCGGGTGAGACTCGGGTGGGACTCGGGTGAGGCTCGGGTGAGACTCGGGGGGGGGGGCATACAGTGAAACTAGAGTCCAGCTGATCTGAGTTTAAGACCAGGACTGTCAGTCCCTGATATGAGACCCCCCCTGAAGAAGCAGTGGATGGAGGGGTTAGGGCAGGCCTATTCAATTGGCGGCCCGCGGGCCACATGCGGCCCAGACGCGGCCCAGACGCAATACCTGAGTGGCCCAGCTCGTGGTTCAGACAAAAAAAAAAAGAAAAAAAAAACAGAGAAAAACACATTTTGCGAGAATAACTTGAAATCCCTACAGTACTTCAGACAGTGAATGCAACACTCCACGTAACCCACAATGCAGCGCGTTGTTTTGTTTGGAAAGTTACTTTTACAAAGTTACTGATATAAACCATGTTAGCATCTCAAGAAGCATGTCTGTCTCTAAACACAGAGTTTACCTTCCTGCCCGGACAGACAAGTACGGTTCTATTTTACCGCCAACGCCAAACGCCAAACGCCAAACGCCAAACGCCAACACAACGTGTTTACTCTGCCATGACTGCGTTGTGGTACTTAAGGAGAACAATGTCCGGAGACACCACCTGGAGAAACACCCGACCTTCCGGGCAAACTACCCGAAGGATCTCAGCAGAGAACTTTAAAAGTGCAAAGTTTAACTGCATCTTACAACCGGAGCAGTACAACTGTGGTGCGGACATGTACAGCACAACATGAAGTTAAATGCACCTTGTGATGCGCCTCAGTCAGATATGACCAGAATGTTGTTGTGTGTCTGTGTGTGTCTGTGTGTGTATGTGTGTGTGTGTGTGTGTGTGTGTGTTGTGTTTTTCGTTGTGTGTGTGTGTGTCGGTTTGGTTTGGTGGTGTTGGGTGGGGGGGGGGGGGGGTTTGTTACCTGAGCATCCCCAGGAGCTGAGGCCTGAGCTGTGGGGCCGTGATGTCTGCGAGGGGGGGTGCTGTGGAGGAGGTGCAGGAGCTGGGGGTTGTTGGAGGTGGAGGTAGGTGGGATCTGTAGTGAAGGAGGAGGAGGAGGAAGAGCTGGGGCGACGCAGGAGGGAGGAAGAGGAGAAGTGAAGGTCGGTGTGTTTGGGGGGGGGTCTGGACACAGAGGGGTCCTTCAGGAGGAGGAGGAGGAGCAGTGAAGCAAAAGATGAAAGGAAAAAAGGAGGAGGAGGTAAAATGAAAGAAATTAACATGACAGAGGAAAAATATGAAAAATGACAAAATAAAACACAAACATGAGGAAATGACTGTGTCGTCATGGAAACCTCAAGGTCTGGTTACACCTGGAGTAGTTCTTCTTCTTCAGAGTCTTCCTCTCTCTCCTCTGAGGTTGAACACCTTTTTTTAACACAGATCTACCAATCGATCACTGAAGATAATACCGGTCAGGTGTATTGATCGAGAAAATAACTGCAGGCCAGTAGACCTGGAGACCTGAACCACCAGTGACATCACACTGATTCACATCTACAGAGCCTGAAGAACATGAGTGTTTATGACTCTGAGGTTCTGCTTCATCACTGTTCTATAGAGAAGCAGAGAACCAGAGAAGAACTGTCATCAGCTCTGAGTGAAGAGCAGACGCTGAACCAGCTGCAGTTCCATCGTATGAACACAGGGTGGCAGCAGAGGACGAAGGTGATGATGATGATGATGAAACCAACATTAACCAAGGTTAATGTGTGTTTGTAAATAAATGAAAGGAAAGAGAGTGTGTGTGTGTGTGTGTCACTTACACAGCTGTGGGAGAGGCTGATGTGTTGGGGTCGTGACCCGATGACGGTGCCACTCAGACTGCGGGCGATGCGTCGCAGGTTTTCTGCGCTGTAGCTCTCGTCTTCACCTGACGACAGCTGGTCAGAGGTCAGAGAGCACAGGTCATTTACTGCACAGCACAAACTGGCAGCAGAGAGTCTGAGCAGAGACTGATGACAGAGAACACAGAGCTGTCTCATGTGATCAAACATGTCTGGATGACACCATCAGCTCAGAGTCTGGGCCGACGTGGGGCCGACGTGGGGCCGACGGATCCTCAGACCAAACCTGAAGCTCAGAGTTTCTGCAGTTTCTTCTTCATGTTGTATAAAAGTCTATTTAATGACTTCCTATGTGAGCATGACCTCCAGCTGCAGATGTAATTATATCATGACAAATTAATGAGATTCACATTTACCTGAATTTACTGCTAAAAGTTCAGTCTTCCTGGATCCTGAATGAGACTGAACCATGAGGTCATACACCACACACACACACACACACACACACACACACACACACACAGTCAGTTGTACCTTATGCTGAGGTGTGACCGGTGTTCTGTAGGCATATCTCTCGATCTCTGCTGTCGGTGTTTTAGACCGTCCAGATCCTGACAGCATTCTCCTCACGCCTACACACACACACACACACACACACACACACACACACACACACACACACACACACACACACACACACANACACACACACACACACACACACACACACACAGACACACACATTAGATACTGTTGAAGATATTATGACTATTGATTTTAACATCTATTCGAGCTGACAGTGATTTAGTCGTGGTTGTCATGGTTACAGTTAACAGTAATATTCCAGTGTAAATCCTCAGAAACAGCTGTAGGAAATGGGACGTGTTTCTATTGGCCAACTCAGCTTGTCCACTGAGAGCTGAGCACAGGTGACCTTTGACCCGAGTCAGGTGACCTGACACCTGTCACCTGACTTCTTCTCCATCACAGAAGCTTCAGATGAAATGAATAGGACATGTGACAGCAGTGTCATGTGACCGTACCTGTACTCTGCATGTCTTACCTGGTCTGTTGCCAGTTGGCTGAGGGCTGACTCCGCGGCTACCCCGGTGCATGCTGGGAGCCAGGAGACTGGCCTGGTATAACGAGTCCAGCTCTGACAGCTCCTCACTGGGCACCGCCCCTTCCCCCCCTGCTCCTCCTGCTGCATTCTGGGAACCGTAGTACCTGTTGACATTCTCAGCCCAGCGCTCCACGGGCAGGGTGTGGCTGTAGTCCTGGCTGGGGGGTGGGGAGCAGGTCTGACCATACCAGCTCACAGGAGGCGGGGGGAGGCTGGAGGGGGAGGTTTGGGGGGTGTAGGTCGGTGGATCAGGAGAATCAACAGCATCAGGTAGGTCCAGGTGTAAGCAAGACCAGTTTCTGGTGGGGTAGGTTGGAGGGGGCAGGACTGGTCTGGAAGTGGGGCTAGGAATAGGGGGTGTGGTCAGTGGCTGTCTGATGTAATATGGCTCCTCCGCCACCATCAGTTGACACCTGTCGTTGGCGCCGACAGGCGATGGGGATCGGGAGTATGGTCTGGGTGGGGGCGGAGCTTGTACTGGGATGGGGTCAGGGGGTGTTCTGGTCCACTGGGTGGAGAGGCCCGCCTCCTCAGGTGGAGGGGGTGGAGCCAAATCTTCCAGAGGACTCTGCTCCCAGGTGTCACACAGAGGGAGGGAGCCGGTGTTAGAAAAGGGCATCCCAGACCGAGAGCAGGGGCCCCCAGTCCTGCTGTCCTCCCTGGGAGAACCTATAGGGCTGGAGGCGGGGTCTGTTCTGGTGGGCAGGGGCTTAACATGGCAGGGAGAGAGAGGCGGGGCCTGCTGGTCCTGACTGGCGGCTGATTGGTCGCCCTGTCTGTTTGTCAGAAGTATTTTGAGCGAGAGAGGCTTTTCACTGCAAAGAGAGAGGGGGGAGGGGGGGGGGAGTGGGTTAGCAAGGTGTGTGTTTGTGTGTGTGCATGTGTTTCTCACTCCTGAACGAGCTGTCGTCATGACTACACTTACACAATATCAGCGTGTTGATTATTAGAACTGAGTTAACAGGTCACCATAGCAACGAGGCCTGAGCATGAAGCTGCTGTAGCTGAAGCTCCTCCTCAAACACACCACGAGGAAACAACAAGAGCTGTGATTGGTCGGTACGGACCAATGAAGACTGTTAACGAGCTTGTTCAGTTCAGACGCTCTACTCAGCTTCAAGAGAAGCCCCGCCCACTGCACCTGGTACTCCACGGGCTTTATAAGAAACTCAGGAACCTGGTTCCAAGTCTGGTTCCTGCCCTTCAAACAGGTTCTGATGGTCCAGGTAGGATCAGAGTTTACCTGTAGTGAATGTCTCTGATTGGTCAAACAGGTTAGAACAAGACCAGCTGGTCCTGGATCAGTTTGGTCCCTGGAGGATTCAGAAGGAGACCTGGGTCTGATGAGTCCAGTTGTGGACACTGGTTACATCACTGAGGTCTGGTTTGATCAGACTGTTTCCAGCTTGTGGTGGTTTCTAAAGTCAAAACAGATCAAATACCTAGGTTCTGATGCTACGTGGCCTCTGATTGGTTGAGCAGACTACAGTTGGTACCTGCGCTGTTCCTGGAGCTGCTGCCCCTCCTCCTGCTGTTGCTCTGGTCTGCCTGCCTCTGACTCCTGTTGCTGCTGCAGTTGCATGCGTTGCTGCAGGCTGCGGGCTCTCCTCATGCAGCGCTGCAGCCGGGTCTGACTACTAGCTCCGCCCCCAGCCGCTGCCAGCCGCAGTTTGGCTGCAGCCGGGTCACAGGTCACATGTCAACAGAAAATACACAACAGAAAGAAAAACAAAGAACAAATAAGGAAAGGAAAAGAAGGATGATAATGGTGTCATGCAAAAATAAACTGACTGATGGTGTGTGTGTGTGTGTGTGTGTGTGTGTGTGTGTGTGTGTGTGTGTGTGTGTGTGTGTGTGTCAGACATGAGGAATGACATCATTAAAAGATCAATAACTCAGATGAAATGATGAAATTATACAGACATTAAATCAACTGAATTATAAAAACGGACTCAGGTGACAGGATCGCTCTGATTAGTCAGTTTCTGTCACACCTGTGAACACAGTGACATCACTAACCAGAAGTCTGAGGGTCACATGATCAGACAGGTGGGACAATGTGAGGGACAAAGTGAGCTGTGAACTGACTACTCAGACTCTCTGTCAACATCTGTCAATCAACATCTGTCTGTCAACATCTGTCCCAGTTTATCCACCTATTCCAGCTCTCCCCTGTGGTGCCTGCTGCAGGTGTGTCCACAGAGCAGTGCAGGAGGATCAGAGACAGAAGGTAGATCAGGTTCCTGACTGTCTCTGGACTGTGAACCGGGTTCTGGGGTTCTGCTCGTGTAGGACAGTACAGATGTTCTACTGTCTCCTCTGTAGTTGTAATAACACAATCTCACCACTAGAGCTCTGAGTCTGAACCAGACCTTTAAGAATCCAACTGGAGCCTCTGTATTTCACTGTGTCACATGACCTCACAGTTAAAGCTGATTGGTTGGTTTTCGACCAGAGACTGAAGACTGATCATGTGAGTTAGACGAACAGTTCTGAGTCGTGACAGTCCAGGTTCTACCTGTAACGTTTGAACAGACCTTTATTTAAACACTGACTTTTACATGACAACAGCTGTCAGTCAGAGAGGAACACATCTGAGTCCTGACCCAGACCTGATCCAAGACCTGCTGGGTTCAGGTTGGATTAGCTGAACCCAGCTAATGATCTGCTTAAGTCACTGCTCTGCTGAAGCCAGATGTTGTAAACCTCTGGTTTGTTTGATGCTCCTGGTTCATGGTCCAGATGTGAACCTGGTGATGTCATTCTACCTGAGCCTCAGAGACATTTCTCTTAAAGCAACTTTCAGTCGAGTGTGAAGTTTGTTTTGCTGCTGTGACGACAAACTGGTGTGTGTGTGTCTGTGTGTGTGTGTGTGGCGGGGTCAGGGGCAGTGGGAGGAGCTTACAGACTGCTTCATTGACGGCCGACAGCGCGGAGGTGACCTCGCCCGCCTGCTCCAGACGCACTGATTGGTCCAGCAGGAGCTCCGCCTCCGACACACAGCGCTCAAAGCTGTCACCTTTACCTGCAGGACACACACACACACAGACACACACACACAGAGACACACACACAGACACACACACACACACACACACACACACACACACACACACACACACACACACACACAGACACACACACACACACACACACACACTGTGTGGGTCATTCTGTCTTTTATATGTCAGCTCAGTCGAGCTCTTTCAGCTGCTCAATGAGGAACATTCCTATTGTCACCCCCCCATGAAACCCTGACCTGCGCCCACTGACTGTACAGACTCTTCTTACCTCATGTTTTCTGACATCGACTCATTTAAAGTGAAAAGTTACATCATCACTCACTGTGTCTGTGTGTGTCTGTGTGTGTGTGTGTGTGTGTGTCTGTCTGTCTGTGTTTCTGTGTCTGTGTTTCTGTGTGTGTCTGTTTCTGTGTGTGTGTGTGTGTGTGTGTGTGTCTACCCTGGATCTGCAGCTGGTCCAGGTCCAGATATTTGCTGGGTCTTGGGTTGAAGCCTAGCGCAGCCTCTCTCTCCTTCTCCTGTCGTCGCTGCTGCTCCTCCTCCCTCGCTCTCCTCAGCACCTCCTCTTGTAACTCATCCAGCTCACTGCGGTCTGCAGGGGGTGCTGTTCCACACACACACACACACACACACACACACACACACACACACACACACACACACACACACACACATTCATCAGTGTCACAGTGATGGTGGAGCCAGTGTCTGATGTGATTTTAGCATTCATTTGCTGCATCACATCCAGATCGCTTCATGACACACACACACAAACACACAAACACACACACACACACACACACACACACACACACACACACACACACGTCGTACCGAGGCTCCCCCTACTAAAGGTGCTGATTTCCTGCAGCAGAGCGCCGCTGCTCTTTGATCTGATGTTCCTCCATGACGGTCCTGAGGAAGAGGAGCAGAGTGAAGACTTCTTCACAGTACAGTCCCTGAGGAGAGAGAGAGAGAGAGAGAGAGAGAGAGAGTGTTACAGTTCACCTTCAGGTTCCAGACCCTCATTTAATTACTTTACACCAGGGGACAGACCTGGATCAGGTCCTGAGTCTCACCTGTCTCCCAGGTTCAGGTTCAGGTCCAGGCTGACCGGGCTGCTGCTGTTCCTCTCACTGCTCTCGTATCCGCTCTCCATCCTCTGGATCAGCCTGGGGGGAGGAGGAGGAGGAGGAGGGAGCTCTGCTCCTCCTCCTCCTCCTCGTCCTCCTCTGTGGCTGCTGGAGGAGGAGGGGAGAGTCCAAGAGGAGCCCGGCCTCACAGACATCCCCTCATGTGGGGCTGTGAAGGAGGCGTTGGCTCTCTCAGAGGCTGGAGCTCCACAGTCGTCGGGCAGGGAGGGGCCCAGCGGGCTGTACCCTGCCTGCCTCCTCCTCTCGCGGGTGAAGATGCTGTCGATGTTGAGCACTTCCCTGCGGGGCTTCCAAGCCGGCCGGTACCTCCCTGACCCCGCCCCGCCAGAGGAGCTGGACTTGGACTCACTGCTGATGCTGTCTGCCTCCCAGTCATGGGGTTTGTTGGAGGAGGAGCAGGGAGCGGGGGTGGGGTTAGAGTGGAGGTGGCTGCTGGTGGAGGAGTTGATGTCAGCGAGGACGGCGGTCGGTAGAGAGGAGGAGGAGGAGGAGGAGAGGGGGCGGCTGTGGAGGATGTTACTCATGGTCTCCCTAAAGTCTCGGAGGCGACTGGTGGAGGACGAGAAGGAGGAAGGAGGTTTGGGGAGGTGACGAGGAACCTGCTGCTCCTTCAACGTCTCTCCTGGGGGAGAAGAGAGGGAGGGGGAGGAAAGGAGGAGGAGCATGAGAGAGGAAGGAGGAAGAGAATTACACAGAGTTAGAAAATGGAGATCAGAGAGAGAGAAGGTAAAGAAGAGAAGAAGAAGAAGAAAAGAAGAAGGAAGCAGAGGACGAGTAATGTTAATGTGACTGATACCAAACTGAAATGATTAACATAATACTGATGACACTGATTGATGACTCAGGTTAATGCCCCCCCACCCCCCAGCCCACCTGCTGATGAAGGTTTGTATCTACAGAAACGTGTTTCCTGTTTAAGCTGCTGATTCTTCTACACTTGTGAACTTGAGTATATGACTGATGATGATGAAGACGATGAAGGTCTGTAGTGCAGCATAATGGAGAACTGTTGTTCTGAGCAGGTTCTACTAACGTACAGGTCAAATCTACTGAGTCCAGTTCTATGTTAAAGTCTGTTCCTGTGGCAGGTTCTACCTGAGCAGGTGCACCAGGAGAACTGGAGCTGGTTTAAAGGTAAAGGGGGGTCACACCTGATCTGATCCAGGTTTTCCATGAAGTTCAATGAGAAATAAAAACTGTTTGTGGTTTTATTTTAGAAATGTCCTCACTTTAGGTTTTAATTTTAAAACAGAGTCTGCACAGAAGTGTTTATTAAAAACTGGGTTATGAGGAAACATCATTATATATAAAACAAGTCAGGATACAATTTTCATTCTAAAAATTATAAATATGAATTTCAATAGAAATTATTTTTATTTAAAAGACAAACTCCACAGTTTAAAATTTAATATCCACTTCCTGGTTTTATTACAGCAACTGTTGCAAACATCAGACCAAACATTTAGAAAGCTGCAGGTTCATTTAATTCAAATCAAATATATATGTATTGTATTTGTGTTTTTATTTATCGTTGTTATTTACGTCTAAAATTAACTTTATATTTGTTTTAAACGTCACGTTTGTTTTCTAACTGTAAAATGAGCCACTCAGAAATATACATATATATAGATACATAAATATAGTAATGTGTTGATATATATATAGATATTTTAAAATATTAATATATATAGGTATACAAATATATTAATGTATAGATACATAAATATAGTACTATAGAAATATATAAATGTCTAGTTATTTTAATATACTAATATATAAATATATAAATATATTAATATGTAGATACATAAATATATAGATGTCAGAAATGAGGTTTATAAAAACTCTTAAGAATCTCAATCAGCATCAGAAATGCACTGTTAGTCACATTTTTAACAGCTGTGCCCACTAGCTCCCTCTCTGTCCTGTAGCCTCCCAGCCCCTCCTACCCTCGCTGTGGTACCCGGCCGATGAGGCTTCGTTGTCTGGTTTAGATCGCTGGGTGCGGACAGAGCTCCGCCTCCTATCCCCGGCCCCGCCTCCCTTCCTCAGAGACTGGTGCTGCTCACTGTCCGTCACGTGGCCTTAGCAACAAGAAGCATGGCAACGGATGTTTAAAGCATGGTCACCAGGTGATGCAACACAATGACAGAGGAGAAAGATGCGGTGTGGTGGTGTGATTGGCTGCACAGCAGGGTCATATGAGGTCATACAGATCATATGACTTCATACAGGTCATATAACTTCATACAGGTCATATGAGGTAACACGGGTCATATGAGGTCACACAGGTCATATGAGGTCAAACCGGTCATATCAGGTCATACAGGTCATATGAGGTAACACGGGTCATATGAAGTCACACAGGTCATATAACTTCACACAGGTCATATGAGGTCACACAGGTCATATGAGGTAACACAGGTCATATGAGGTCACACAGGTCATATGAGGTAACACTGGTCATATGAGGTCACACAGGTCATATGAGGTAACACTGGTCATATGAGGTCACACAGGTCATATGAGGTCATACAGGGTCACACAGGGTCATATGAAGTCACACAGGTCAAATCTCTTCACATCTGTAGATATGAAGTTCACATTTAAACGAAGAGTGACAGGTGTGTTTTATGAGGTGACTGACAAACTCTTCTGTGATTGGTCAAAAAACATACAGGACATCAGTTGATGGTTCACACCAAAAAACACTGTTCCACTCACAAGAGTCTGTGTCTATTTATGTAACACCTCAATCACCTGATTAATGAATCAATAATAAAAGCACTGACCACCCCTCCCTCAGTCTCACACAGACAACTCCGCCCCCCCTCACCTATGGTGTCCAGGCTGCAGAGCGAGGCGTGCAGGGCGACGTCAGGGTGTTCGGAGCAGATGACGGTTCCCTGGGAGTCGGACGAGCAGTGACTGACCAGAGACTCATGGTGGGAGGGACCGGGCTGCCGGCCCGAGTAGCTGTCTGTCGACGAGTCGGTGCGAGTGTCGCTGGAGATCGAAGGCTCGCGGCCTGACGGGGGGATGGAGGGGCGGGGTTAGTGGATCAGGAGGTGGGGTTACTGGGTGATGTACATGTGCTCATACATACACAAATACACGTCCTTTCACTACTACTAGAAGTACTACAACTACTGCTACAAGTACAAGTACTACAACTACTGCTACAAGTACTGCTACAAGAACTACAACTACGATTACAAGTACTACAACTACTGCTACAAGTACTGCTACAAGTACTACAACTACTGCTACAAGTACTGCTACAAGTACTACAACTACTGCTACAGGTACTGCTACAAGAACTACAACTACGATTACAAGTACTACAACTACTGCTACAAGTACAATTACAAGTACCGCTACAAGTACTACTAGTACTGCAACAAGTGCAACTACAAGTACTGCAACAAGTACTACTAAAAATAAAATTACTACTACAAGTACTGCAACAAGTACTACTAAAAATAAAATTACTACTACAAGTACTGCAACAAGTACTACTAAAAATAAAATTACTACTACAAGTACTGCAACAAGTACTACTAAAAGTACAATTTCTGCTACAAGTACTGCTACAAGTACTACAATCACTGCTACAAGTCCTACTAAAAGTACTACAAGTACTGCTACAAGTACTACAACTACGATTACAAGTACAACTACTGCTACAAATACAATTACTGCTACAAGTACTACAACTTCCACTACAAGTACTACAACTACGACTACTAAAACTACTGCTACAAGTACAATTACAAGTACAATAACTGCTACAAGTACTACAACTATGATTACAAGTACTACAAGTACTGCTACAAGTGCTGAAACAAATACTACTAAAAGTACAATTACTGCTACAAGTATTGCAACAAGTACTACTAAAAGTACAATAACTGCTACAAGTACTACAACTATGATTACAAGTACTACCAGTACTGCTACAAGTACGACAACTACTGTTACAAGTACTAAAATTACTGCTACAAGTACTACTAAAAGTACTGCTACAAGTGCTATCATTACTGCTAAAAGTACTGCAACAAGTACTACTAAAAGTACAATTACTGCTACAAGTACTACAACTATGATTACAAGTACTATAAGTAGTGCTACAAGTGCTGCTACAAATACTACTAAAAGTACAATAACTGCTACAAGTACTACAACTTTGATTACAAGTACTACAAGTACTGCTACAAATACGACAACTACTGCTACAAGTACTAAAATTACAGCTACAAGTACTATTAAAAGTACTACAAGTACTGCTACAAGTGCTATCACTACTGCTAAAAGTACTGCAACAAGTACTACTAAAAGTACAATTACTGCTACAAGTACTACAACTACTGCTTCAACTACTGCTACAAATACGACTAGTACTTGAACTAATACCACTGTTCTGTAGTACTAATACTTCATGTTTGTAGTACTAATAGTTCTTGTTTGCCGTACTAATACTTCTGTGTAGTTACCTGAGTCCTCGCTATCGTAACAGGTCTTGTTGGGGGGGTGCAGGTCCAGGCGGGGGGGTGGGTCCTGGGTGGACACTGGTGTCCCCCGGGGGTCGGCGTACAGCAGCAGCAGAGGCTGGTAGTGACCTTTGATGCAGCGAGAGACCACGTCCTTCCACTTAGGACCGATCTGCAGCAGAGACACACAGAGACTCAGACTCAGACTCAGTCAAAGTCTCAGGACCAGGTCCAGGTCCAGGTCTCAGGACCAGGTCTCAGTCTCAGGTCCAGGTCTCAGTCTCAGGTCTCAGGTCTCAGTCTCAGGACCAGGTCTCAGTCTCAGGACCAGGTCTCAGGTCTCAGGTCTCAGTCTCAGGTCTTAGTCTCAGGACCAGGTCTCAGGTCTCAGGACCAGGTCTCAGTCTCAGGACCAGGTTTCAGTCTCAGGACCAGGTCTCAGTCTCAGGTCTCAGGTCTCAGTCTCAGGACCAGGTCTCAGGTCTCAGGTCTCAGTCTCAGGACCAGGTCTCAGTCTCAGGACCAGGTCTCAGGTCTCAGGACCAGGTCTCAGTCTCAGGACCAGGTTTCAGTCTCAGGACCAGGTCTCAGTCTCAGGTCTCAGGTCTCAGTCTCAGGACCAGGTCTCAGGTCTCAGGTCTCAGNTAATACTTCTGTGTAGTTACCTGAGTCCTCGCTATCGTAACAGGTCTTGTTGGGGGGGTGCAGGTCCAGGCGGGGGGGTGGGTCCTGGGTGGACACTGGTGTCCCCCGGGGGTCGGCGTACAGCAGCAGCAGAGGCTGGTAGTGACCTTTGATGCAGCGAGAGACCACGTCCTTCCACTTAGGACCGATCTGCAGCAGAGACACACAGAGACTCAGACTCAGACTCAGTCAAAGTCTCAGGACCAGGTCCAGGTCCAGGTCTCAGGTCTCAGGTCTCAGGTCTCAGGTCTCAGGTCCAGGTCTCAGTCTCAGGTCTCAGTCTCAGGACCAGGTCTCAGTCTCAGGACCAGGTCTCAGGTCTGATGATGTAATGAAGTCACATGATCTCAACATCAGACATTCTCTTTCTTAAACACATCAAACCGTCGACAAGTGGAGGACGTCCTGTTCACCTGGAAAACACCGCTCAGCAGGTAAAACAGTCAGGAAGTGAAACGTTATTCTCCACCACCCTGTTGTGTGTCTGTTGTGTGTCTGTTGTGTGTCTGTTGTGTGTCTTTTGTGTGTCTTTTGTGTGTCTGTTGTGTGTCTGCTGTGCGTTGTCCTCTTGTCGTCCGTGTCTTCGTCTTTTTGTGCGACAGAAATCCTCTGCTTGTTATTTCAACCCTTCCTCCATTTTCCAAAAGTCCAGCTCCAACAGGATGTCCCCAAAATGAAAATGCCGACCTGTCCGTCAACCATGTGCCGCTGAGAGAGAGAGAGAGTGTGTGTGTGTGTGTGTGTGTGTGTGTGTGTGTGTGTGTGTGTGCGAGAAAAAATGTTTGTGTCTGTGAAAAATGTGTGTGTTTATGCAAGAGAAAGAAAGAGATAGAATGAAAGTCTGCAGTGTGAGCAAAAGTGTCGGCTGTGGCAGTGGGCAGTGTGTGTGTGTATGTGTGTGTGTGTATGTGTGTGTGTGTGTGTGCGCGCTCTGACCACACCCTCAGCTCTGTCCAGCTGGACTGATAAACAATAGAGGGATATCCTTGTTTTCACAACCAGTAGAGAGAGAGAGACAGAGAGAGAGCGAGCGAGGGAGAGAGAGAGAGCGAGCGAGCGAGGGAGAGAGAGACAGAGAGAGAGACAGAGAGAGAGAGAGAGAGAGAGAGACCTCACTCCACTGATGTCATTAGAAAATAATAGGAAAGAAAGCAAAGAGTGAAGAGGAAGAAAATTAAGGAGAGGAGGAGAAGGAGGCAGGAAAGAGGAGGTAGGGTGCAGAGCAAGGAGACAGGAAACAGGAAGGAGGACATGTGAGAGGTGTGAGGATGGGAAGGAAGAGAGAGATCACTAACTACAACATGAGGTCACACACTCACACACACACACACACACACGCACACACTGATATAACCTTAACCTTAAAGGAATAGTTCACATTTTCTGACCTGCTAACAGCGCATCTGGCTCCGCCCACTGTGATAATAATAATAATAATAATAATAAAGTTTATTTCTATAAGACTTTACAGTTCACACTCACTGTGACTGAGACAGAAACAGATAATATCTTTCAGTTGATATTGATTGATTGACAGTTTGTCACAGTATCAGAGCTGAAGTGATCAGTTGATTAAAAAATATATTGATACCGGACTCATATTTTTAAATGTGAATAATCTGTTCCAGGTTTTAATCTGGAGGATCATCAGCTTTTCTTTGGTCTTGTTTCTGGACTTTGACACAGTCGACATGAGGAAGATGAAGATGACTGAGATGAAGACGACAGGAAACTGATGAGCATTGTTTTTACATTTCAAATACAGATTCTCATGAAGTCTCTCTGTTAATCAATTATAACATGACATGAACACTTAATTAACATTTTATAAGACTAACTAACTAAACTGTTGTTCCTAATAGAGGATAGTCAGAGCCTCACTGCTCGCACCAGTGGATTAGTCTAATTCCTGGTGTTTGAGACAGAGTTCTTCTTCTGTGTTTTATTTGAAGCTTCAGGTGGGGAACTTGTTGAGTTTAAATTATACATCATCAGTCTGTTTCATCCCCTGTGACAAACACAGCTGGAAGCAGCAGATCTGTTTCTTTACCTTTGGCGACACCTCTGGTCACACATGGTAACTGCAGGTTTGTTTCTGAGCCAAACATCACTAACTGACAGTTCATAAACTGTCAAACACAAACACGTTATGTTTCATCTGTGGGTCACTGTTGTGTTCCCTCATTCAATGACAGACAGTGAATTCACAGACACTGATTTATTTATTGCCTAGGTGTTTCACTGATCCACAGTTGTGAGTTTCTGTTGTTGGTCTTTTTATCTCATTGTTGAACCAACAGTAACAACACTGTTGTATATTTTAGAAGTGACATCTGTTCCTGAGAGACGGACATTTGTTTCTATGATGTAACGACTTGATAGTAAAATGTGAAGCAGTGTTACTTACAGACTGATTATTTTACATGACGTGCAGGAAAGGTCCCTGGTTGGGGACTTGAACAGGAACTTGTTCAAGGTTGATGCTAAACCCCCCCAGACTACAGGACCCCCCCAGAGGTCTCTGGTTTCCTTACCAACCAAACCCTATACAGAGATCAGCCTGTATCTTGGTTTTATCTACTCCCTACACAATACTTTGACACCATGCCCCAGATATACCTCCTTGACGTGAGCGTCATCAAAGTACATCCATCGTCGGATCTTTGTCTGGAAGAAGAAGGTGGAATAATGTTTCCCATAGTAACACACCATGCCAACCAGGTAGAGCTCCGACTGACGGGCCTTCTCCTCCGTCACCTTGTAAAACAACTGCAGAGAGAAAGACGAAGCTGAAGAAAACCGTTATCCTCCAATATGCTGACGACATTGATGTTTATCTTCATGCTCATACTTAATATTTACTACTACTACTACTACTGCTGCTACTACTACTGTCTCTACTACTACTACTGTCTCTACTACTGTTACTACTACTACTACTACTGTCTCTACTACTACTACTACTACTGTCTCTACTACTGCTGTTTCTATTACTAGTACTAGTACTAGTCTCTACTACACTCTACGACTACTACAACTATTACTCCTTCTACTTCTTCTTCTTACATCTCCCAGGCGCAGGCAGGTTCCCAGGGTGTGAATGACGTCTTCAGCCAGGTCGGAGTGATCAGAGTCCCAGACCAGCCCGATGGTGATGATCTCTGGACTGTTGAGGAGGACACGAGCCATCCTGAGCTGCTGACCGCACTGACTCTGAGGAAGAGGAGGAAGAGGAGGAAGGGGAGTAAATGAATACATGATATGAAATGAACCAAACACTTGTGTGAACACATGACATTAACTCCTTAATATTCGGGTGTCGTACGGGGCAGTTGCGGAGGTCTCCCATGCTGGCGTTTCTCAGCAGCTCTCCAAACATGCCGGGAGTTGCCTTCTCCCTTGACTCCAACATCTTCACTGCCTGATTACTGAGGAGAGCAGGACATGTGACCTCATTGACAGTTATATTTACAGTTATAATTATAACCTATATGATAATTAATACATTAGTTACGGGCAGAAGAAACAGATTCTTTTCACTTTAAACAGAATTATATTTTCATTCAAATGGTTTCTATCAAACATCTAAAAAATATTTAATCTTAAATCTTTCACAAGCTTCTTCACTCAGACAGAGCCATGATAAAGAGAGTGAAGAGATGGTTGCCTTGGTGACCCTGGAGCGTAACTTAGCGACAGGAGGGGGGGGTGTGGCCTTAACTTACCTCTGTCAGACACACACAGACTTACCACAGGGAGGTGGTGGAGATGTAGTGGACCATCTGAATGAAGGGCAGAGGGTCTGAGGAAGCTCCACAGCTGCTGCACACACACTGACACATACACACAAAATCACACACAAAATCACACAGGAGGCAGGACCTGCACTCTGCCTGAGACACCAAACTCAGGGCAGCAGAGTTCCCAGAGACTGAAAGATAAGGACTTAGGACTCTGGACTCTGTCCCCTTCCCTTATTGGAGATCTGTTAATGACCTGTATGAAGACGCCAGGTGAAACCTGCTTCAGTCTCATATGGTCACCTGACTCTTGTTTCTATCCTGTAACCTGAATTAATCGTTTCCATGGCGACAGGAGTCACTGGGACTCAGAAACCACCTCCATAGGTACAACACTGGACCGGCTCAGACCACGCCACTAACTCACCTGTTCAAACAGTGTCATGGCGAACTTCTGGTGAGGGATACAGTGTCGGGCTGTGCAGATGTCCTCTGTGGTCTCATCTGAAATGTGGAAGTGGATCCTCATCAGGATGTTTTCCTGCAGAGACAAAGACCGGACTGATCACAACTCATCATAGGTTAGAAACCAGTGTGTGTGTGTGTGTGTGTGTGTGTGGTCTTACGAAGCACTCTGCGGCATCATCCATGATGCCAAGCTGGAACCTCTGCTCGTCCTGGAAGGTTTTGGCAAGCGCACTGCGGAGAGCGTCGGACGGTAAAACCTTCTCACTGCTGTACTGAAACTGAGCGAAGATGCTCTGAACAGGAAGACACACAGAGGACAGAGGTCAGAGGTCAGAGACAGGACGCTGGTCCAGGATCAGACGTCAGCTGGTCTGACTCTCACCTTCAGAGCGCAGAAAATGCACGAGTCCTCCATGCACTTATGTGTCGTCAGCTGACGGAAACTACGACGGAAGATGTCGAGGTGCCACAGGACCTGCCAGGAGCAGAGGGAGAACAGTGGGGGGGGGGGGGGGTGATGGGATCAGGATTACCTCCTCCACTCAGACTAGATCCAGGTCACATCATGTTTATCCAGAGCCACAGAAAATATTAACCATTTGTGTGAAGTCTTGAGTAATGGCTTAAAAGGTGTTTTGTGAGGTAACCGCGACCTTGACCTTTGACCACCAATCTCTAATCAGTTCATCCTTGAGTTCATGTGAATGTTTGTGCTGAAATTGAAGAAATTCAGCACATAGCGTGTCCATGAGAATGAGATGGACGGACAACATGACTGTCTCCAACGCAGACAGATAAAACTCAAAAGCATCAAGATAAAAAGCACAACCTTCCATAAAAACTTTAACAAAGTATTGATTTCCATCACTGAAATAAAATCAAGACTCAGACCAAGAGTGTGAAGTCAAGAAAAATCCGGTCTACCTGCTCAGACCTGATCCCAAACCTCAGCAGGAAAACCAGATTCTCCAACGTGAAACAAACCGGATTCAACTGTCAGAATAAAATCAGAATAAAATCCACAGCTCCTCAGTGTCTGAGCCGACTGTCCAGATGACTAGAGTCACACTAACATCCAGGGTGTTGCTGCTTCTCCACTGAGGACTCAATGTGACGGCTTTACATCAGTACAGCTGCCAGCCAATCACCTGTCAGCATGGATGCTGACCTGACACCGCAGCCGGCCAATCAGAGAGCAAGTTTGATGACCTGAGGACGAGCTGCAGTGAGTTTAAGAGAGCGAGACAGAGCGTGTCAAAAACATGAGTGGAGCTGTATGTATGTGTGTGTGTGTGTGTGTGTGTGTGTGTGTGTGTGTGTGTGTGTGTGTGTGTGTGTGTGTCTGTGTGTGTGTCAGACTGTGTTCATCACTCTCTCCATCTGCTTCAGGAACCATCTGGACTCCTGCATGACGACAAGTTCTCTGGGAGATAAGTTTGAGAGTGAGAGATAAGAGTGTGTGTGTGTCTGTGTGTGTGTGTGCCAGAGGGAAAAGCAGAACATGATGTTGTCTGTGTCAGAAAGAACAAATGTCACAATCTGAATGTGTGTGTGTGTGTCTCAGCAAGTTCCATGTGATCTCCTGATGTGTGTTGTGTGTCTCTGTGGTTGTTGTGTGTCTCTGTGGTTGTTTTGTCTCTCTGTGGGTGTTGTGTGTCTCTGTGGGTGTTGTGTGTCTCTGTGGTTGTTGTGTGTCTCTGTGGTTGTTTTGTCTCTCTGTGGGTGTTGTGTGTCTCTGTGGTTGTTGTGTGTCTCTGTGGGTGTTGTGTGTCTCTCTGTGGGTGTTGTGTGTCTCTCTGTGGGTGTTGTGTGTCTCTGTGGGTGTTGTGTGTCTCTCTGGGGGTGGTGTGTGTCTCTCTGTGGGTGTTGTGTGTCTCTGTGGGTGTTGTGTGTCTCTGTGGTTGTTGAGTGTCTCTGTGGTTGTTGAGTGTCTCTCTGAGGTTGTTTTGTGTCTTTGTGGTGGTGTCTTCATTGACCCCCCTGCTCTCTTCCATCCCTCCTCTGGGCGTCTCGTCTCCTGCTGAGCGACAGGAATTCAGACATGGAGGAATGTCTTCATCAGTGTGTTCATGAGGTTTAATAAGAGCAGTGGAGGTGGTCTGCAGGTCAGACATGCTGGCTCTGATCTGTGAGTGGACGGTTGGTAGTCTGAATCCCTGGAGACAGAGACTGGAGGATCTGTTCAGTGTTTAATATGATGGAAACCGACTGTTAGAGATGAAGATCATGAAGCCGCAGTTCAGTTCAGACTTCACAGTGAAAATCTGCTGACAGCTAAAAACAAGAGACAGATGGAAAATAATCATCATGTCTAACAACAGAGGGTGTGTTGCACTCAGAGTCCTCAGGGACAGACGGTGGTGTCAGCACTTTGGGTGTGTCGGTTCCTCCTTCCTGCCCCCCCACCATGTCCAATATGTTGTTTTGTTACTGCAGCTCAGTCAGGTCCAGGTCTGTGCAGGACTCTGGTTTATGAACTCCTGATCCTGGTTCAGTCTGTGGATCAGTGTTTGGACGTTTCACCTAAAGCTGCAGACATTTTATTATATTTTCATCTGTTTTCAGTTGATTAATTATCTGTTATCAATAATATTTGAGGTCTGATCTAAAACCAACTAATGAAAGTTAACTGTCATCTGAGAATCCTCTGAACAGCTGATTGTTTGTCTGTGATTAAAATAAAATGATCAGAAGAATTGATTAATTTTCATTGATTGACTTATTACTTGTTGCAGCTCAGTTCTTCTTTGTGAGTCAGTGAACACCACGTGATCACAGAGACAGTGTCTCATGGTGCATTTATGGACACTCAGAAAAAACAAGATCTGTGTTCATGTTTAAACAACAGTTTGTAGTTAATGAGCTAAAATCTGTAAAAATATCTGATCTGACCTGGATCTCAGACTCAGGTCCTCCTTCTTTGATAATATTAATATGAGACGAGGTCACAGCTTTATGATAAAGTCTAAATGTATTTTCTCATTTAATGAGTCAGTGTGTGTGTGTGTGTGTGTGTGTGTGTGTGGGTGTGTGTGTGTGTGTGTGTGGGGGGCGTGAGAGGATGAAGGTTTGTGAGCAGATGAAGGTTTGTGAGCAGCTGATCTGAGGGCCTCAGCTGCTTGTTACTGTGATGTTCTTTGTCTTCGTCACATGTTGGAGCCACTGAGCCTCCTGATGTCCTGATGGCTCCTCCCTTCCGCCGCCATGCCGCCTCCTCCTCACTCAGCTCAGCCGCCGGCTCACAGTCGTCCTGATCACTTTGGTTTGACGTGAAAACAGTGATGACTCGAGACAGAGAGGGGGAGGGGGCAGTGTGTGTGTGTGTGTGTGTGTGTGTGTGTGTGTGTGTGTGTGTGTGTGTGTGTGTTTTCATGTGTTCCTACAGTAAAGTCTGACTGGAGTAAAAGACATGTCCAGATTTAATTAATTAATGTTTGTGACATTATTTCTCACCTGGAGAGATGATGTCACAAACATTATGATGTCACTGTTTTCTGATATTTCATGAACTAAACCTTTCATCAATAAATCCAGATAATAATCAGCATATTATATATGCTGCAATAATGAAAATCATGTTTCACAGCAGCTTTAAATGAGTCCAACTGTTTGTGTCACAGTTTACACTGAGGTAAGATTCACTTCTTCTCCTCCTTCTTTTCTTTCCTGCTCCACTCTGTTCTTTCTGATTTATTTCATTAGTTTATTTCACCTTCTTTAGTTCATTGTTGCCTGTTAATGACATTATAAACATATCTTTATTGCACTGTTTCACGTCTGCAGTGAGCCCCACCTGGAAACACCTGGACACAGGTGTGTCCACACTGAGAAGATCAGTGGAGTCCTCCTCCTCTTTAAACAGGTGGAGAGTTTTCCAGCTGACACACTGATGTTTTCCTGACCAGGATTTAAAATGTCTGTGACCTCTGACCTCTGACTGTGTGTTGCTGCTGATCCAAGATCAGCTGTGAGCTGCAGTTAAAGATGTAATGAGTGTTTCTGCCCCCCCCCCCCCAGGTTAATGAGTCAGCCTCTATTTAAACGAACCAGTAATTACTGCTCTCACTGTCTCTGCCCCCCCAGTGAGCTGATGAGTCATAACTGAGTATAATGTGCAGTCTGGGAAGAGCTCTCTCTCTCTCTCTCTCACACAACCACACACACACACACACACACACACACACACACACACAGTTTATCACACTGGTTGTTATGTGTGAGTGATGGTGCAGTAATCTGAACACTGAGTACAGACTCATGGAGACAGTCTGGAAACACCACATGCTAACATGCTAGCATGTAGCTAACGTGCTAGCATGTAGCTAACGTGCTAGCATGTAGTCGACAAGTTGCCAAGAACTTGACAAATAAATGAATGAACTAAATTCAGCTCCACTGCTTTTATTAACCAGCAGGTTCACACTGTGACAGGTACCTGAGGTCAGAGGTCACAGAGACAGGTGTGTGTGTTTGTGTGTGTGTGTGTGTGTGTGTGTACCTGCAGGGCGCTGTTCAGGAAGCAGCTGTTCTGTCCTGGCTCGTTGCTCAGACCTTTACTGGGAGCAATGGACGTCATGGTGCGAGGCGTCAAGATTCCCTGCACCCCCCTGTCCACAGCACCTCCCCCTCCCCCTCCACTGACACCGAGGCCGCCTGACGCAAAGTAGTTCCTCTTCCACGACATATCCCTCTCTCTCTCTCCCTCTCTTGTTGGCTGTCTCTCAGCCCCGCTCCCTGCAGTAATCAACTTCCTGTCGCCCGTTCTCGTATCGACGCAGACAGAGCCATGTCGTCCCACCAAGGAGGGGGCCAGGGGTAAAAATATGATGACACCTCCCAACAGGACGGACGGAGCAGGAAGGTGAAATTTACAATCAAGTTAAAGAGTAAAAACAGTTTAAGGCTCCTCCCCCTTAAAGAACTGAGTCAGATTATAATCCTCTGGTTCTGAGTTCAGGTTCCTTCAGGTTCCACGTTCCAGTCAGAAACAGACCTGAGGTTTTTATTCTGGACTTCAAGGCCTCATCCCTGTCCGTCTGCATCAGGTGACATGACCTTTGACCTCCTTTCACACACCGACATGTATAGCTGTGTGACGGCTCCTCATCCTCCTCTTCATCATCATCACCACTGCCACAACCATCGGCCCCCAGCCGGTCAGCAGAGCAGGTCAGAGGTCAGAGGTCAGCTTGGCTCTGAGGTTAGTCAGATCTGCAGAAGAAGAAGAAGAAGAAAAGTTTTGAGTCTCAGCGACTGATGGAGGAACCAGAGATCAGACTCTTCAGTTTAATGTTCATCGGTCAGCTACAGACACAGTCCTTACTCGTCCATTCAATCACTTACTCACTCATTCATAGAGCTGGACGATACGGCCAAAACTGTTATCACGATAAAAATTTCCATCTCATTCGATAACGATATTCATGATTTTTGTTCCTGACTGAAAGTTGAAGGAACCAACAGTTTGTGGTTCTAAACTGTTCTATTAGTCAGAACATGACAAACACTTGTCAAACTGCACAACATTTAAAAAATCTGAGGTACAAACATTCAAAACATGATCAAATATACATGATTAAAATCAAAATCCTTTTCAGTCCTTTTTACTCAACAAAGTAAATAGAAAAGTAAGTTTTGCAGTGTGATACACGTCACATGATCAGACTAAAACTTAAAGGGGACATATTATGCAAAATGCACTTTACCATGGTTTTCTATCAGTAGTATGTGTCCCGGCCTGACTACAAACCCCCCACACATGAGGAAAGTCCATCCTCTCCGTCTTTTGCTTGCTCCACCTTTCAGAGTGTGTGCTCACACAGGCCAATTGGAGATTTTCCCTTGATGTTGTCATGGAGGGAAATAACACCTCCCCCCAGGTGGGTGACACTCCCCGAGCTAGGTGTGTGTTCCTCCCTCTGAGTCCGCCTTGCAGCCGCTACCGTTTATTCCCTCGCATCACGGCTCCGGTAAAACTGTGTCGAAGGTACGAGCGATGCACGCTAGCTGCTCGGTTGTTGACTGTACAAACCAACACAGAAGTCTTTTTACCCGCTACGTCCGAGGATCTGAAGACCCAGGGGATTTGTTTCATTTTATTTTTGATGGACACTTTAGGAGTTGTAGCGGGCCTTTTCACATCGGACTGCTTTCTCAACGAGGGCCAGTACAAAGCGGGATTATAAAGCTTGGATCAGCACCGACTGTCCGACACCCAACTTCAAACTTGGGAGCTGTAAGTTTCACCATTTTATGTTGCTTTACTGTATGTACACGAGAGCCTGTTGCGTGTGTTGTTAGCATGGCAGCTAATGTGGCTAACGTTTAGCCTCGTCCACACAGCCGGGTATAGCCGGGTACAGATTGTATGCAATTCTTCTGCTTAGTTTCGCTGTGTGACGTTGATTAGAGCCACCCTGCAAATTTATAGGCGTTTAGCTGTCTGCAAAGTCAAGCCGGTAAAATTCAGACTAAACAGGCTTTGCAGTGATTAGCATAGGTGTCTGGGCTTGTTTGTTAGTGCTGTGAAAGTTAGTATTGAGAGTCATGCCTTATGATGGCTGTTTTAATGTTATATCATGTTTACAGATACAGTGCCTGTGGGGAATATCTAGATAAGCGCAGAGTTACAGGGAATATGTGAAAGGGGATAGTCTATAATACACATTTCTTGCATTTTGCACGGATAGTGAGCTATTTGCAGCATTTACAAGCTATTTACAACCCAGTTTACACATAATTGAGTGCATTTGTTGTTATCATTTTTGCACTGCTTGCAGCTGTTGCCATAACTACACATTTGAGGAGATGTTGGTGTAACCTCTGTTTCCTCTGCTCAGGCCAGCACATCAAGTGCATCTATACAGCTTCCTGCAACAAGGGATGTTGCATGCCAGACTGACCCACTGTAGGCACACAGTTATCCTTGAGGACTCTTCAGCCTCACATCAGAAGTACAGGTCTGTAGCCACCTGAACATCTACTTTTGATAAACCTAACAGTCATTTATCAGTCTTGGAACGCTGTGCAGGTAAATGAAGCTGTGGTTACTTAGAACTTGTGAGAGTGTGTAGGCTAAGGTTTCTGTCAACATTAACATCTTTGATTTTCTCTTTACTGTACCTCCAGACTCTACCTGGCTGCCATGTACTACAATGAAAATGCTGACCGACCACAAGCCCAAACAAAAGAAGGTGAACCACTGTTCAAGGTCCAATTTCCAAAGGCCATGAAGGGAGAATGCAGAGCTACACCAGTTAAGACTGAGCCGACATTCTATAAGTGTTATATTATTTTATTTTTCAACCAAAAAATGTTTTGTACACATTGTATTAAGTATTGCACGTATAATGTTATGACAGTTCCACCAACAACAAAATACAGTAAAGAAAATGTCAGGAGGTAGTTAGAAACAGAATGTCAGGAGGTAGTTAGAAACAGACTTTCAATCATTGTTTTGTAAAAAAAAAAATAAAATAAAATAAAAAATGTAAACAAAATCTTTTGTGTTTTATCAAACAGGGAATGTGGTGGACCTCATATTTGAAAAAGTCTTTTTTGACCTGGGACCATACACAGAAGCTGCTTTGGCCATCCCCATCCCAGAGGACCTCACTGCACAGTTCGAGCGGCCTGAGAAGGAGGAGGTCATATCCAGCTATGTGTCCCGGTTCTATCATGGGCCAGTCTGAAACCCACGTACTGGCCTGTGGCGTCAGGAAACTCGGCACTGATGCGTAGGACCAGGCAGGCTGGAATGACGACCCAGATTCTGCGACCAAGGAAGCCCCAGCACCAGCCCATAAAGCTCCTATAGGCTAGATACCTGTACCGACTAAAACAACTGGACAGGGCATTTAGTCTTGCAAACATATCTATGTTGTGTCTCACAATTTTTTTTATGGATCCAGTGAATCCTACAGCTTTTTTATTATCACTGATTATAAGTGCCTCATTTGATGTAAATAAATGCTTGATCGTTACTAAAGAAATGACTCCTCTGAATTCATATATTATATGCACACTATCTGCTGATAGAAAAACTTTACAAATCAAAGAGCAGCTAAACTAATTTATTTGAGGGTGTGTTACTCCATTTGTGGTGTGTTATTACCATTGTAAAATTATGTGCACTGAAGTAAAACAAGACTGCCTAACATCTTTTATTTACATTGAAACTATGTTTTTACAAAGAAGCAAAACGTACTGGTGTATTCCTCTCAACCGTAAAGTACCGTAGTCAGCGCGGTACATGTTGCAGGCATTCTGGAGGGAGTACACATTGAGGCAGAGCGGCTCCAACCCAGGACGGCCTACCATACATGGTAAATCTTCCTCGATCTCCCATAGCCGTCTGGTAACCTACAGTGAATTACAAATGGTAAATGCTATGGTTTATTATAAATGTAATCGAAACAAATTACTGATTAGTTTGTCTAGTGAGAATGCTACCTGTGGTATCTCCTAGCAGCAGATATTCTCAGCTTCTGTGGGCATGGTTGCACAGTTTCCACAGGAGCACCTATCCAAAATATAGAGAAAAATGGTAACATTCACCAAAATATAAAGCTTATGAAATTCAAAAACTGACAGACAGTGGAGCTAAGGTGGGTAAGAAGTAAGCTTGGCTACATATCAAGCGCATATAACATAGGTAATTTATAACATGTCACTTATTGCATATAATGTGGAGCTTGACAACAGTGTAGTGTAGAAAACTGCAGTTTAGTCTTTGACTAAAGATTACTGTTGCTGTCAGACATGTTTATGCTGATTTACAGCTTTTATTGTAATACACAAAATAAATTTACTACATAAAGGAGGATGTTATGATGAGCATCTGCTCAAAACATGGAGAAAAATTAATAAAAATGATTTACTTTGTCAGCATCTATTAAAGTATCTTACTTGTCTCGACATTAAACACCTGTAGCAGTCCACATACAACAAACATTTTCATAGACTGTAAAAGTATATCTAAGGAGGCATGACAGATAACTACATTAGACAATTCACAATAGTTGCTTATTTACCAAAAGAGCTCCAGTAATGAAGAGACAGTAACAGTTAGCATTAGCTACCTAGCTACATGTTAGTAACTGTGTGCCAGCACACATCAACAAACTGAAAATGTAAAGTCAAAATACACAAAACTGGTTACCAACCATTCAGAAACGTCCTGCTGCAGTTATAGAGTCTGAACTTCTTCAGCAGCCTCTCCCTCTGGGGCAGATTCTGGATAAAAGTCGTGTGGTTGAACCAAAGCGCTTCTGACGCCAGGTCGCCGGTCACGGTCACCGTAAACATTAGAGCGTGGTGCCAGAAGCCCGAACATCCCCTTCCGAAGAGGGGCGTGGTCAAGCACAGCTCATTTGCATTTAAAGCTACAGACACAGAAACAGCCTGTTCTGAACAGGGCTGAAACAGAGGGGTTTACAGGCATGCTGAAATACAGGATCGGCGTGGATTTTTTAGCAAGAAACTTCAGACATGTTTTGGCGACGTCTGAGACTTATTTAAACTTGTTGAAAAGGAGCATAATATGAGAAGACGTGCACTGGGTCGCGGCCTGGCGCTGGTCGAGGGTCCACTAACACTCGTTACGACCTGTAGCTTCTTACTTCCTGTGTGTGGTTGTTTCAGATGATGGGACGGGTTTGTGCAGTTGTCTGTCTTTGTGTCTTT